GTAATGAGTAGTTATCTAATGTCAGTTTCGGATATCACGATAAAAATATACCACCACTAATTGAGTTAGTAGCAATATATAAATGTATATCGTAATAAACATGATATTAACTAAGCACTTAATAGGATCAGTAAACCATTGAAATTGTAACAGAGGGTTATAACTAGCCATCAACTATATTGTGACAGATAGGATTTTAATAAAGGAGTGGGACAAAATGCATTAGTGATGTACGAGATAGTGAGATAAAAAATGTGTAATACTTGGTCGCATATAGTTTGCTTAAAAGCATGGATTGCTGTTAAAATTGCTTAGGAATTTCACTGTTTGTAAGCTATGTGACAAGATTTGGCGTACATTTTATGACCGACATTTTCCAGTCTATCATTACGATGGAAACAATGCAGCCTTAGTAGGGATGCAATCTATCTTATTTTAAACACACTATCGGTAAGCCGAAAGTACTCGATTGCTCCTGGATCTTGGTCAACAGCTGAAGATCTTGCATTTGTCACCGCCCATCCTGTATTATGTTGCTGAAATTCTTGTCTCCAGAATCTCAGGCACATTCTTCAAAGTAGCTAAGCTACTGCCTATATGAACAATAATTATAATAATAATTATGAATGTTTGCAACTTATTATCAAATAAAGTCTAATACACATCATAATCAGTAGCTTCGTTTTGCACTAAAAAGTTCAGATTTATCTAAATTTCATGATTTATAAAAAATTTTGTTATGTTTTGAGTAGTTACTTACTAATAGTAAATTAAATAGACTTACAAAATCTGGTCTGCTGTATTTCAACTGATAAAATGAATGATAATTTCATTTCTGAAGATCATGATTGTAGTTTGTATGAGATCAGATCCCTAAAGCTATGATGCATCAAAAACGAATCATAATAGCTCTTATATTTAGTTCACTTGTCATAAACAAATTCATGGAATTGAGTTTGTTCTGAACATTTTGTGAAGTCTTTTGACATTATCAGACCGTGGAAAACTGAATAATGGGAAGTGACATTTAATTCTATAGTTGAAATCATCAGTCAATTGAAACTAGACCACAGTGAAAAACTTGGAAGCACTAGACGGCCGTCTCGTCCTATTGTAGGACTTCTCAGCAGTGCGCATCGACGAACCCGCACTCGCGAGATTCGAACCCGGAACCTATCAGTTTCGCGCGCGAGCGCAAGCTGGCCGGCATCCAAAGGTGTTAATATCTAACTTCGACCAATCCACAAAGTTGAGCAACCGATCACCAATGTCTTCAGTGAGTTGATATCTCACAACAGACCTGGTTGAACTTCACTGGTTACTGCTTCTCACTAGAACTCCAGGAAATACCTCATGAAGTCAGTCACTAGTGAGCATATGATCATTATCAGAAGGTGGTTTTGTGGAGATTTTAGTAGTTTTATATAGTTGAAATCATGAGTCAATTGAAGCTAAACCACCATGGAAAACCTGGAAGCACTAGACGGGCATTTCGTCCTATTGTGGGACTTCTCTATAAACTAATTATTTAAAGTTGGAAAGTGTGATTACTAAATCATTACTTTCTATCACTGAATAACTTCTGTAATAAAATTCAAATCTAAACTTATTATACTTAAATTTTTTTGTTTTATATGGAGCATTTGTGTGGAATTTTGGGAATCTTACTTTTTTTCTTAAGACTTAACAATTATCAGGTAGTTTCAGCTTCATACTTTCATAGTTTAATAAAATATTTTGTTCAATGATTCATTTGGAGACTTTTTTCAATCCCCTAAAAAATTTTCTTTTGTATAAAAATTAAATAATTTAGGTAAGATCAAATAATACTCTATTCCATTAAGTACATTTAAAATTCACTTTTTATTTCTGATTATTAAACTTGGTCTATCGGTTAAGGGCTTCGGCTTAAGACTGGTAGGTCCTGAGTTCGAATCTCGCGAAAGCGTGTTCGTGGCTGCGCACTGCTGTGGAGTCCCATAATAAGACGAAACGGCCGTCCAGTGTTTCCAGGTTTTCCATGGTGGTCTGGCTTCAATTGACTCACGCTTTCAACTATGAAAAAATATTAAACTTTTATTAGAAAGTACGATATTTCATAAGTGAATTGTAGCAATTTGAAATTTCATTATAAGCAGGGATGAATGATTGATTAAACTGCTTGTGACTTCAGATAATATCGAGGCAATACACATAGTATGCACATGTGCCGACAAGAGACTGATAAATTGTAATCCTAAACATCAATGGGAAGACGCGAACATACAATACCAAACTGAATTAACTTCAACCCGTTACACAAGATAGTGGCTATCAGGACTCCATAGCTAAATAGATAACGCGATAGCGTTTAAAGTGGACGGTACTGAGCTCTAGTCTCGGAGTGAACATCAATTGTGGATTTCAGATACATTCAGCTGACATATCCAATATAGGAAGAAATGTGTGTCCTGGATTCCACTGCTAATCATCATCCATCTTTTTTTTTAAATGCTCGAGACGTCAGACAAGATCGAGGAAATCAGTACAGGATCCGGAAATGTCAATATGAGATTGATCAACTGTAGTCTTAAACATCTATGTGAAGACTCAAACAATCAATACAAAAATGAATTCGAAATTTTATTATGACAAAACAAAATAATAAAACAAGTAATTAAGAAATCTTTGTCTCTCTTTTCCTGGATTTTTTCAAGCCACAGAATAATTTATTTTCCAGAAATCGACCAAAATAATTAAGTTATATCGATTTAAAAGAAAATAAAAGTGTTCAATGATAACATAAACTTTTAGTGGCCCTATATCTGACTCCACTTAAAATGTTTCTGAATGTTTTCGACATAAATACACCACAACACTTCGTATTTTATGCTGGTAAATAAGTTTGTTGACAGTTGATTTACTCTAACTTTTACTTTGAATTTGATCTGCAACTCTAGCTATTCGAGTTTAAACCAAGTATGCTGAAGTGATGTTTTTTAGTGAACAAGGACATGAGTGCAGACAATCCAATATATTTAGGCACAAGTTACAGAATATTTAAGTAAAATTTGAGAACCATATAGTAGTTTGCAAATTAGTTAATTTGCAAACTATCAATCAATCGTATCAATTTTGAACGTTCCTTATGCAAATATCACTCCATCGTTTATGACTTCATTGCTCATGCATTTTCCTATCGATTGCGCTTCGATTCCATTCTGTCCTTAACGATCTTCTACTGAAATACATTTATTGCCCAACCATCGTTATATACTATTTATGTGGATATTAGTAGCCCACATCACATTTAATCATTACAATAATTAAAAAATTATTTCAATGCCTTAACTACTAAACCACAATTCTATTTTATAATTTTAATTACATAATGCCTAAAAAATATTTTTGAAATAAAATCATTTGTTTAATAGTCATTTTATTATGTTCTAATTGTTTCATTGATATAAGTATTATTGCCAACGATGGATAGCGGTTAGCAGTGGAATACAGAACGTGCGTTTCGTCCTATTTGGGACTCGTCGGCTGAATGTTACTACATCTCAGAGTTGATGTTCACTCTGGGACTCGAACTCAGTGCTTTTAGCTTCATCCAGCTACATCCAGCTGACGAGTATTTAATAAGACGAAACGAGTGTCCTGGATTCCACTGCTACCCACCATCCATCTTTGCTTAAAATACGTGTAAATTAAGGCTATATTGAGGCGATCCGCTCAATATACACATATGCCAATAAGAGACTGTTCAATTGTAGTCCTAAACATCAATGGTAAGATTCAAACAAACAATATCAAGTGAATATTATTGTCAACGTTTATATATTATAATTGAAAGTCATAGAAACAATATTTAGTAGGTGATAAAATCTAGGAGTTGAATGTATTAATACCAATAAATAATTAATGAGTAGTTAATACATTGGTACATATTATGTACTTGTTCATCGTTTATTCAAATAGTAGAATTGAGTTATTTCCCATTATATTGTGATCAATAGTATTAATGTAGATACATCCTAAATCATGCAAATTGTGAAGCCACTTCCTTACATAGTATCTGTGGCAACATATAAGCATTTGAATCACTTTTATTGAATAAAATAACCCAGTATCAAGTAATTTTATCATGTCATATGGTTGGATGTAGTCGACAAGAAATCCTGGATTATGGGTAGATCAGTTACCTAGATTCCAGTACAAGGCCTAGATTAATGGTTACTCGTTGAATACCTCTTATAGCATAAAATCTCAGCATAGTAAACATGATGTCGAGTAAATTCGGCTAGTCCTCATAATACACTTTGTTCAAAAAGTACTCAATCGGGACTCAGTGACCAAACAAATATATCATTATTATCAGATGGGGTTTTGTGGAGATTTAGTATTTTCATAGTTGCAAGCGTGAGTCAGGTGCGAGACTGGCAGATCCTGGGTTCGAATCTCACGATGCGAGATCGTGAATGCGCACTGTTGGGGGGTCTCACAATAGAACGAAACGGCCATTCAGTGCTTCCAGGTTTTCCATGGTAGTCTAGCTTTAATTGACTCACGCTTGCAACTATGAAAACATATAATTAGTCACTTTTCATTAATCAATCGATTGTAATTCCATAATATATTACCCTAAACGTTTTACTACATGAGTGCGAATTTAATTTAATTAGCTCATAATTTTAATCTCAAAGACAAAAAAAACAACCGAAGCCAAGTGTTTAGAACGCATTGTTTATTGAATACTTAATCTTGTTGAAATTTTACTGAATCAACTTGAACAGTAATAATTATCATATTCTATTCTCTTTGTTGGCAAGCTCATTTTCACACGTATATACCTCACATTGTTTCTATTTCAAAAAAGAAAACGATGACATGTGAATGAAATTTAAAAGTCTTCAGTAAAACAAAAAAAAACAACTTTTAAACGGAATGATAACCATCACTATGATTCAAACCACGTGTTTATCTATTTACGTATTAATAGTGTTTAACAACCGCAACAACAACAACAACAAATACCTTAAAGAATTTCATTAGAATGTTTATGCATATGTATATGGATAAACATGTACAAATAAAATATATGTATACATGACTATATATAAGTCAAATACAGATGGTAACTCATCATTGATCATAAGAGGTGTGGTTAATTATTAACACATTACAATATAAACCAATATATTCTTATTCATAATACATTCTATCAACAGTAAATAAAACGATCGATTGAAGTCAACACATTGACAACATCAAGATTATGGGATCTGTGAGTTTTCAAATGATTATAATGGAAAATTTAATTTATTCTACTTTATATTAAAAATGAGATTTATTTGAATAAGTATTGTTTATTTCAATCTTCCCATTGATGTTTAGGACTAAAATTGATCCATCTCCTATTAGCATATGTGTATCCTGTACAGATTACTTCAATATTATCTTAAGTTATAAGTATTATATTGAAATTTTGTATTCAATATGATATAATATCAATATTGAGAAATTACAATAAACTCAGAAAACATGTATATGAACTTTCGTCTAAATTAGAGTGAATAGTTTCATAGTATTTGGGCTCCGAATTGATGTAAGACATTAAATAGGAAGAATTTCAGTGAATGAATTTGAAGGAAAGTCCAATGTTTCACCTGGCAAGGGAAACATGTTTAATATTTCCTTAAGAAGTCACCAGGAAAGGCTTAGTTTTATGAGATCTGTATTTATTAATATGTTGATCAATCTACTTAAAATAATCAATCAAATATTATAGGGTATATCTAATTGGGAAATATGAAATTTTAAGTTCAGAACGAAATAATTAAATCAACAAAATAGTTTTAATCAATATTGGAAAGTATACTCATACCCTAAGGTTTAACTCAATGAATACTTTAGTAGACTCTTCATATATATATATAATCAGAAGGGGTTTTGCGGAGATCTTAGTGATTTTATATAGTTGAGATCATGAACCCATTGAAGCTAGATTAACATAGAAAACCTGGACGGCCGTTTTGTCCTATTGTGGAAATTAATCATTGAATTATAAAATTCATTGACTGAATTTCACTTAGATTTATCATTCCATTAATCATTGAATTACTTACTATACAACAAATCTTGTTTACATTATATTGAATAAATGGTAAATATATTTGTCTCTTTTTATGGTTATAAATTGATTTTTTGTTTTCAGTAAGAAATTATATTTTCTTTTTAATGTATATCTCTTTTATGTGTAAGATTACATAATGACTATATTGGCTAACTCTGTATTATTGAAGATATTAATGATTCAATGAGTTAATTGACATGATAAAATGATAGAATTAGGTAATAATGTAGGTAAATACATAGTTGAAATCATGAGTCAATGGAAGCAAGACCACCATGGAAAACCTAGAAGAACTGGGCGACCGTCTACCTCCAATAGGCTCATGATTTCAACCATAAAATTACTGAAATCTCCACAAAAGCCCATTGTGGTAGGTAATTACATTTAATTTGGTTATATTTCTCAAAATGATTATGAAAATACTGTTTTGAAAGGATTACATTTTGTGAATTATTTATCTGAGTGATGAAATCATAGATTTTTTTGAAACCAGGAATTAAGTACACAGAATTAAGATGTTCTTTTTTTGACTTTTCAAACTGAATCAAATGCATATTAACTTTTACCTATAACTAATTGATTAATCTTGCGAAGTCTTACTCATTCAGTGTTTATAGTAATAGCAAATAATATAAACGATAATCTGTTAATCTCTCTTCGGATAAATTATTTTGATAAACAGTAATAGCTGTAGTTACCATCATTTATGGAAATCATTCTGAAGAACCATTACAAAATATGAAACGGTGTCTGAGAAATGTTGATATTCATACATATTTTAAGCTCAATGGTACATCACAACTGCGTTAGAACTTATTCATCAGAAAACAAACAAACGTTTTAGTTTTTTGCCAACTCTCACATTGTTGACTAGTACTTCAGATTCTATAAATTATGGTAAATATTGTTAAACGGATAATAAGAATAATTGATTAGCCATGAAAGAAATCAATGAATATTCAATAGAACATGTTGTCTTCAATGAAAAGTGTATTTCTTCCAGAATATGCTTTATGATAAACAACTGATGTAACATATATACTCAAATAATATGATAATGTAAAACAATTTTAAATTAAATACGTTCATAGTTCATTAAAATCAGAAGCATGTAGGTTCAAATGACCAGAGACAGATTCAATAGTCCAAAGATCTAGCTCATTTCATGTTTATTTTAGCCCTTGCCATGCCTGATCAATTAACACCAAGGGAGTGTTTCATTTTTTAACCTAAATAATAATATCCGTATTCATTATTTGGAAGATATCAGAATTTCTTTTTAAAATAACTTCTCATAAGGATCTGTACTTTATGACATTGAATTTTCCCAGTTGAGTTGTATGTTTATAAGGTAATCAACTGTTTAAAGCCCTATTCATGAAAAAGGGAAGAACTGACAAAATCTTCAGCAAACGTTAACAGATTATATTGTAATGTGATCTCATTATACACATGTACATTTTAGTTATCTATAAAACCAATTTAATGTTTTACTGTGTGATTCTTCATATATTATACATAAGTCTATGGATTGATATTTGTCTACGTATCTGTGGACTGGTGAATGAATTGACTACTATAAATAAATAATATATTTATATTATTCCGTTTAGTAGAAAAATTAGATTTTCTGACGTTTCGTAACTCATCGGAAGTCACTTCTTCAGAAAATAAATAACCAAATAAAAATTAATCCAAGTTTTAATTGTAATTTGGTTATTCATTCTCTGAAGAAGTGGCCTCCGGTGAGTTACGAAGCGTCAGATAATCTAATTTTTCTACTCACTGGGATATTACAAATATATTATTTATTTATAACAATCTACCCAATGCTCAATTTATTCGAAATTATCAAGTCAAACCTTGTTAATTATACCTACGAACTCACTACTGATTATCCATATATTCTTTACTCGTTTTCTGTGCCAGTTATTTCCAGGATCATATTGACAGTTATTAGTATTTACCAAAGTGAGCAAATATGTACTTTTTTTTCAGTTTTACCACACAAGATTACATGACTCCAAAGAATTTAGCTGTTTTGTCGAGATTATTTCATTCAGTGAATTCGACTTGTTTTGATTTGAAATTGCTCCTGTCTATTTGCACATTAAAGACTGAATACGTTTTATGCTCTGAACACGATGTCACTTTTAATACTTAACTGTATTCTGTGTAAACGGATATGTTTTCTAACAGAGGTTAATTATATATTCAGTTTTTAATTTTGCTGCATAATTGACATTCTATAGCATATTTATGCTTTGGTGACTTAGGTTTGGAGCAAACTGATTATATAAATATTTATGATGGTTCTAATGAAAGTAAGGATTTGATTACTGTGCATCCTTTTTTTGATACCTCCCAGTTTTATACACGTATAACTTAGATTGCGTTACTTGATTTCATTCACAACTTAGACTTACTCTCACAGACAATCATGTTATTTAAGAATTAGTATTTCCTTTCATTTTTTTAATGAATTTATAATATAATCTGAGGAAGGCATCAGTAGACTATACTAAATTTTGACACTCAAGAGTTCATATGGATTATTTGTGTTAGTAATAGAACAATCTCATATCAGTCACATTTGAGGTAAACATGGTTGTGACTTCAAAAATGTCATTGATTTGTCATTATTACTTTTAAAACGGCCTAAGGTTTCATATTGTCATTTGACAATATTATGTTACTGGTTTGATCTACACATATATTAAACAAGAAATACAATGTGTCGTTATCATTCTTAGTTGACATTTTTACTTTTGCTAATGTGCAAAATTAGAGATATGAAAAGATTTAGTTAATTACTTGTATGAATCATAAGGGATGGAAATTTTCTTTCTCATAATATCATTTACTAAATCTATATAATTTTACTTCTGGTTATTTGACATGTGTATTAGTTTACTGGGAAATAGAGAGAGGTCAAGTGAAAAATTACCCTGAAACAATGAATACCAAAAGCATGTCACGTAATCATCTAAAAGACAGTCAGTGATGCTAAGATTATGGTAGTTTAGCAACGAATGTTCAGTTGATGTGTATGAGGAAATGAGTGACTGGATGCTGCATAAACAAATAATTAATAATTAGGAAAGCGAAATTTTCAGGGCAATAATAGCGAATGATAACTAGTTACGAAAATTAGGGAAGGGATTAATATAACAGTAAAATGACAGACTGAATATTTCACTTTAGTATTTTGGGCTTGAGCTTTAGTCGATAGACCGGCAGTCTCTGTAATAGATAAGCCTTTTATTTGTACCCTTCCTCTATCAAACCGTATCGATGAATTTGAAAGATGATGATGATATGGCAGCATGTCCAAAACTTAAGAGGTATTTCAGAATTTATTTATTGATGGATCTGCATAAATCACCAAACAACCAGGCAGGGCAATATTCAACGAAGCGTTTTATAAAGCTCGCTTCTAAAAGCCAAAATATTGTTATAAAAGAGCACATAAACCGAACAATACTCATCAATGTTGTTCCACGTGACAGATTATCCTTGTTACGTTCAGGAGTCAAGGCGTAGCTAAAAAGGGCAGTATAAATTTGAACAGAATACGAGATTTTTTTCAAAGATCAAGAAGGTCTTCTTTTCAAGATCTATTCAATAATCTTGAAGGTGATCTAATTAGCACTGTAGTCAGTCTTTCATGTTACAACGCCGACCTTGTTACTGTCAATGGTTCTAGGTTACGCATTATTGAAAAGTATCTGTCAGAGTTCATTCAATTTGTATTTGATTATATCGTCGGTACAGATTAGTCAAGCCATAAATAAAAGCGATTTAATGAAGTTTCTTATCCAGCCTTACTGTGGACAAATTCAAATCCTTGAAATGACAGGTTCAGGTTGGCTTTCTGTGAACTGATCTTTGTGGTAAGCCATCTATTATTCTATTTAGGACATATAGAATGTAAGATTTCAAGTTCTACCCTGATTCTTGTATGAACTTAACTGATTAAAGGTAGCTACTGAACATCTGAAGTATATCGCTGATTTCAGTACCTTCGTCAAACTTGTTGGAATTACTGTACATCAGAATTGTCCTACTAAAATAGCATCTAAGAGTTCATATTTTCAGTCAGTAAGAGGCAAGGGCCATTTTTAACTATTATCACCTATGGATTATCAATAAATTCTGAACTTGGTTACGTACACAGGTCACTGTTGTTAGTCAAACCCTAATGAAACCAAATTCTAAACACATGAGTATTATTATATAAGATGAATTGTAAAGATTGTATTGTGCCCACTTCGAGGATTTTTAGTTTTATTTTGATGAACTAATATAAGATACTTGTTTGACGGTTACTAGTTCTTAACGATCTCTGTAAATATTAATTCATGATACAAAATACCCTCAAAAATATATTTACTCTTTAAAAAATTCATTCTTAAGATGTTTATTTGTTTATTTACGTTTTCAGGGTAAAAAGTTCACAAAATCATTAATACTTTCTGTATTATTAGCGTGTTTAGGATCATCCTTTACAATTGGTTACAATTTAGGAGTATTAAATTTGCCAGGAGAGGTAAGTCAATTACATGTTTAAAGAGGAAAATGTTTTTTTTTTCAACATAATACTTGATAACTAAATAACCTTGAGAAGTGACTGAAACAATTCAAAGTATTCGGTAAAGTTGTCGATCAAGAATGAAAAATTAAATTGTGTATTCTAGTTTAATTCAATTCATTCATAAAAGATTATTGATTGAGTAGATATTGAATTGATGCAGTCTATATATTATTCGTTTTGACAGACGTTTATCAATCAACTCATATTGACGATTCTATGTCTTAATGAATAACTAAAGTGTAGAGCCAAGCTTTAAACTCATACATCATACAATAAAATATGGAATAAACAATAAGGTTTGTTAGGCGAATAAATATTTTAGTTTATTCTGGCAATGGAATGATTAGTACATAAAGTATGTTTGAATAATGGTGTAAATTAAACATGATTTTAACACTGGTAATTGTGAGTTAGAATAAAAGGAATAATATTTTCATTGAAAATTTAATCACTATAAAATTTTATGCGATTGCAGAATAATATATAAGAACTCTCGTCTAAATTAGAGCGAATAGTTTCACAGTATTTGAGCGCCGAGTTGATTTAAGACGTTAAATAGGAATAATATATTTGTGAAATCTCAGCGAATGAATTTGTAGTAAATCCAACGTTTCGCCTGGCAATCTGGTCCAAGCTTTTTCAAGGAATTATCCATTCGCTGAGATTTTACAAATATATTATTCTTATTTAATGTCTTAATCACTATAAGTTAATGTCAACTTTCACGTTGCAAACGTTCAAGAAACATCTTGTATCTAGGACTTCTCATCATTTTCCTAGCCAGGAAGCGTATGATGACTTAATATTCAAGTAGGAATTGCAATAGAAACTTTAATTTAAGTCGTAAATTTCAACATTTTTAAAATGTTTTGACCTAATTATTTGGATGAACTACAGTGATATGTTAATAACTCATATTTCTGAGTAAATTGGAAGGCTTAAAACGAAATGTTTACTAAGACATGTAACCAACATACCACGGATGAAACGTTACTAACCAGTTGAAAAACTAATTTTTACAAGAAAATATTTATTAGTTAGTTACTATAATGGCATACAATATTGTTAGCAGTAAAAATTTAACTACTTCTGAACTGAATATAATTTGAAATAATGAGAACTAAGTTGAACATTTCGTGTATAGCGGTTATTCGAATTCTACAAGTAATTGTCTCAATCATATCATCAATATTAATAGACAATGATGATGATAATCAAATAAACCTCGCATGGAATTCAAATAACCTGTATAATTTAATTTTCATTTGTAATTCGTTGTTCATTTTATGATCGAAAATATCATGATTAGGATAATATTTCATGTTTAACAGTTTAGTTTTCTGATTCCAAAGTCATTCTGCTTGAATTTCAGGATTATTTGAAGTATATTTCTCATGATTACGTAACATATACTACGAGGATTTTATCATTGAAAAATACTTTTAATTTTTTGTTTTATTTCTATATTTATACAGAATATTAAAGAGTTCTTATCTCGTACTATGTTGGGTAAAAATGCGAGTGTAGCTGAAAATACAGCAAATCTTGTGACACCAAGTTTTTTATATGCTCAAGTTAGCACAGCTTTTGTAGTAGCTGGTGCAATTGGAGCTTTCAGTTGTGGTGCTATAGCTGATTGTTTAGGAAGGTAAATAACCGTTTAATGTAATTATAGTTGGCGAGACTATAATTTATAGACGAACCGATCAGATTTAGAATATCAGGTCTTGGATTTTGGTACGACATTCATTCACTCATTTAGCTAAATATTGTTTTAGCATTATACCTGATGTCAGTTCGTGATGAAAACATTAAATCTTATTCCTAACCCGAACGTTAAACTGTAAATTACAATCCTAATACCTCACACTAATCTACAACCCTTATGTAACTCTAGGAAGTAGGTGAACATTCCAAGCTCTTTTAAGCGTTGCTCAAAGGTCGTCAACAAATTATAATCTCACCTCATAGATTGCTAACATTGTATGATGATTATTTGATTGACACTGTTAATAGTGCGCAATTAAACGATCATTTTGATTCAAACTGTAACGTTGTCTAATCCAAATGACCTCTTTTATTGATGACTTTGGTTTCAACTTTTGATTATTTTGAAAATGATACAGTAGAACCAGAAAAGATCAAATGTTGCGTTCGTGTTATAAATGGACATATATGTCTTTTTCTTAAATCGGTGTAAGGATATATATGTGGTTAAAGCTCAATTCGGTTGATGACATACTGCAGAAAAGTTTGCTCATTAAATAAGCGAAAAAATCACATCTTTTCTGAAAAGTTATCACATCTTAACAGCGTCATAAAATAACGCAACACTGGTCAGCTTTCATAAGATTTTCGCTTAATTAAATATGACTAACCTTGATAATTTCATAATATTCCTTTATATTAGTATACACAACTCAATGTAAAGATGACTTATGAATACGATTGTACATATTAGGAAAATGTCATTGACAAGAAGAAAATATGCTTCACTGAAACATCTTCATACTTTGAATCAATCGATGCTACTTTTCAGTGACTTACACATTTTTGAAATTAGTCCAAAACTATATCATTCATAAATTCATTCAGTATTGTTTGTTTGAATCTTCCCATCGATCTGTTAGAACTGCAACTGGTCAGTCTCTAATTGGCATATGTGCATACTGTGCGTATTGCCTCAATATAGCCTTAATTTACCATGCTTGTGAATTAAGGCTATATTGAGGTAATACGCACAGTATGCACATATGCCAATTAGAGACTGACCAGTTGCAGTCCTAACAGATCGATGGGAAGATTCAGACAAACAACACTAAATGAATTTAAACTTCACCCCATCGCACAAGCAATTGGCTATCAGGACTCAGTGGCCGAGTGGATAACGCGATGGCGTTTGAAGCGAGGGTACTGGGTTCGAGTTTCGGAGTGAACATCAACTCTGAAATGCAGGTACATCTAGCTGATGAGTCCCAAATAGGACGAAACGCGCGTCCTGGATTCCACTGCTAGCCACTATTCATCTCTGCTTACTATATCATTCATGTTTACTATTTTGTGTTGTTTATTCTTGTAAGAAAATTGTTTTTATAAAACAATAACTTCACTTATAAATGAATAAAATGATGTTGTCGCTATTTACTTTAATAGACGAAATGGTTTGATAGTAAACAGTTTACTTGCAATCATTGGAGGAGTATTAGTTGGTCCGTGTGTAGCATATAGTCAACCTGCATTATTATTTGTCGGACGTGTTTTCAATGGATTCAATTTTGGAATATCAATGGGGATAGCACCAATGTATCTGACAGAAATAGCTCCCTTATCTCTTCGTGGTGGAATCGGTTCATTGCATCAGCTTGCTTTAACTATCGGGATAATTGTATCCTACTTAATGACATTAACATACACACTAAATACACCAACTTTGTGGCCTATATCTGTAGCTGTTGGATCAGTTCCTGCATTAATTGCATTAATTCTTTTACCTTATTGTCCTGAGAGTCCACGTTTTTTATTTATCAAAAAGGGAAAAGAGGCAAAAGCACGTAAAGCCTTTCAACGACTTAACTGTATAGATGATATCAATGAAACATTTAATGAAATGAAAAGAGAAATGCATGAAGCTGAAAAACGACCAAAATTCAAATTTTTCAGACTTTTCACTCAAAGAGATTTGCGTATGCCAGTTTTAATTGCTTGTATCATACAAGTATTTCAACAGCTTTCTGGAATTAATGCGGTTAGTTTTGAACCTGTTTATTTTTAAATACGTTTACCATAAGTAATTTAATTTGTCAACAGTTTGGACGGCATGTTATTAATCATAGTAATTAACTCCATTGGTAGAAGTTGTAGATTACCCTCAAACATATATTTATAAAATGAATGAATCCTTTGGTTAACATCATTAAGAAATTAATTTTCCTACTGTACTACTTAAAAATCAAAGATTAATTACGCTTGTTACCCCTCTTAGAGGAGCATAGGCCTCCCACCAGCATTCTATATCCAACTCTGTCCTGGGCAAATCTTTCCAGTTCTTTCAAGTTGTTATTCATCCTTTTCAAATCTGCTTCTACTTCTCGGCGTAGTGTGTTCTTTGACCTTCCTCTTTTCCGTTTCCCTTCAGGATTCCAAGTTAGAGCTTGCCTCGTGATGCAGTATTATATTGTCAAGTTAATAGAATGAACTTTATAACATCATACTGTTGTGTTATATCAGCTTAAATAAGTCATGCTAGTGAACTAGAACATGTATTATGCTTAAAAAGAAATAAATTTTTACACATGTGTCATTTGTGAATTAGAAAGGTCATTTACCAAAGGATAGAATGATACGTTGTAAGGTGTCAAGACATAATCAATGTAATTGCAGCAAAATAAATCATTTGAATAAGATGCATAATAGGTGAACTTTCCCTGGAAAATGGACAATAATAATAGTATTAATAATAATGATGTCGTATAATAAGAGACGCGTTAATAAAATTATTGTGGTAAGAAATTTGTGTGAATTGGGAAATATGAATGTTCAAATTAAGAATGGAGCAGGAAAAAATAAAAATAAAGGAAATTGGGGTGGAGGTAAGTGGTTTACAATGTCCAGTTTTGGTATATGACGACCCAGTCGTAGATCGAGGAAAAAATTCAGAGACTGAACATATCTCTTTCGGATACATAAATAAGGTCTTCAGAGATTGAAACGGACGACTTCAACTATATAGTGAAGTCCTAATCCTACTCTTTTAGGAGGATTTTTTGAAATCTGGTGTGAAACTGAGAAACCTTCATCTTTTTAGATATGATGTTCACTATCTGCCGAATGGGAAAGTGTGACATTATTAAGAGATTTCTTGAAACCTTTTCTCAAACATGTCAGTACATGTTAACAGGTATTATTTATTATTATTTATTTCAACACATGAATATTAGTACAATGAAGCACCAGATAAATATGCGCCTTACAAATCTCATTTGATTTGTGTGAGGGCTGTGATACTGCTCAGGTGCCCAGGCTGAAGCAGGTACTCAAGGATAAATGGTTCTGAGTATGGCCTATGTAATTAAACCTGCAGGAACAGTTTAATTGATAAGACACATAAAGGAGGCCATCGTCGCTAACTTATAAGTGATACGTTATGTAAGTAATGGTTTATAACTTAGCGGTGTGAAATGTCCTGTTAAAAGATCACTTAAGTTAACATAATAAGATGTCACCCTCTGTGTCCCTTTAAGATCGAGATTTAGATAAAGAGACTTTGATTTACCTTATCGATGTTTAGCTTATGTTTTTGTTATGATAGATATCTTTTGACAAAATCACCTGAATAACAGTTATTTATAGTGTATTCTTTATTTTATACATTTATGTATACTAGCAGATGAACAAGTAGTCAACAAATAGTTGATACTAAACCGACCAAGCTATCTCGCTGGAAATTAAAGCAATACATAATTCACAGAAAGCCAACAAAATAATTAAATTCATATATTTTTACAAACTTTAAATTTTATCATCTTGTTTTTCTCTTTCAGGTAATCACTTATTCTTCCACAATGCTTAAAACTGCTGGGATTCCACTGGTGTATATTCAGTTTTGTGTAGTTGCTGTAGGAGCAATTAATGTTTTAATGACTGTACTTTCGGTATATTTAATTGAACGTGCCGGACGTAGAACTCTTCTTTTATGGCCAACTGTACTTCTTGCTTTTTCATTATTATGCTTAACAATTTCAGTGAATACAGCAAGTTCAACAAAGGATCAAACAACAGCTCGAACAGCTGGAATAATTTCAGCTGTTCTTATAATTCTATATATTTGTGGTTTCGCTTTAGGTTTAGGTCCAATTCCTGGTGTAATCGTTGCTGAAATATTTAGACAAGAACCAAGGGCTGCAGCCTATTCTCTAAGTCAAGGAGTTAACTTATTGTGCAATTTATTGGTGTTATTCAGTTATCCAAGCATTAATGTAAGTAATAAATTTCATAAAATTACATTCTAAAGATTCAAGTATGATTTAGACATTCTCTGTTTTTGAATGTATTCGATAGTGATGACTAAAGTAAAAACAAAATATGAATTGGAATAAGATTTTAACTGAAAATTTGGGCTGGAAAAGTGGTCATATTATGAAACGCCATCACTCATTTACTGACCATATCCCAAGTTCACTCGGATCATTATTTCAACATTATTACTATGATGTGTTGAATAAGACTGTCCTATACATTCTACATAAATAACATAAATAACAACTTTGGACTGAATACATCTGAAAAAAGGCTTAAGGCAGATAGGCGAATCCCATTTTTAACATTTCCATTTGATTAGTTAATAAATTACTACAATGCTATTGCGGTGTGCGCTTTGTATGTGGACAGATATAAGTAGTATGTAGCAGGAATGGGAAGTGAAATGGTTATCAACAGAAGATCGAAATAAAAAGAACAGTGAAGAAAACGTAGTGCAATTGGAATAACAAGAGAATAAGAATGATAGAGTATATAAAAAACGACGTCAGTAAAATGCGCCATATAGGTATTCAGTGTATGATTTATATATTTTATAAAGGCATTGTGTGATTTTACATATAACGGTAAGCGGTTTTCCCTTACCTGAGTCTTCATCCACTACTCTAGGACGTAGTTGAAAATTGTTGTTAGTTCGATAGGATGAAAATCTTATTTGATTTTCACCGATTTAAACTAATTCTAGGGTAAATCAACTTGGCGTTTTCTACTTGTATCTTCTCATTGTTATTTAGGACTGCAATTGATTCCACTGCTAGCCATTATCCATCTTTGCCTATAATTCCAGGGTATCTTTTAAAAAACGTCGACTAATAGGTTAGTATGATAGTGCTAATCACAAAATTTACTAGGTAGAACGAGATAACTTAGTCATCATTTTATTATAACTTGAACTCAGCTGGTCAAATTTACTAAATTATCAAAACTATACTAGGCTAATTAGTGTATCTAAAATTCATTGCATGATAACTTCACAAAAAATGTGACGAAACACACAAATCTTGTGGATCAGACTACAAACAATGATTGATTAATGTCAGTTAAACATCTGAATATTCAAAGTGATCGATTAGAACAGTCGTACTACAACAATTTCATACCTTTTTACTGAACATATAAAACTTAAAACATATCAGTTTGATAATTGTAACATTTTATTTTATCAGCTAAAGCATTCAGGGAGTTATCACTTGGATTGTTTACTTTGCTGCTAGTTAATAAATGTATCTCATCTTGATAGACAATAAAGTCAACTCCAGACTACAACATGTTAGGTAATAAGAACACTCAAACTATATGTAAAACCAGGGAAAAATGATTACGTACGTTTACGAGGAAGTACATTTTGATTGATTTTCAAACGAATTGAAGCATTTAAACAATCTTACTGTTTTTCATCATTATTCAAAAGTTACGTCAATTGAGAATACGTATTTTCCACAAGATTACCTGTCAATTAGTATCGAGATAAGATGTATTGTCAAAAGATGAGTAAAACAATTCTAAATGTGATAGTTTACTTCTCAAGGAATTTAGTGCAAAAGTATTGGTTATAAGATCACTATTTACATACAAGTAGAAAGACATACATTTGTAAAGTATATCAATCCAAATAGTAAACGTCTGAAAATAGAATAATCATATGATTATTTATTATAATAATGAGAAGACTATTCTCATACTTTTATGGTGTAAGTCTATTTTTAAACAATGAACGACATGAATTAAAATTAGTTTTAGTGTTAAAAACATGTCATTTACAAATGTTATAATGACTGATACGAATATAAAGCAAACCATTTCCGTCGAGGGCGATTAAAAAAATGTCAGCATTGTTATTAACAGTTACTAAGGAAGCTATTTCAGTCATACAGTATACTTGTAAGGTAGGATTTTCGTTATCAAAACACATTATATTTATCTTTCAAACTAATGGAATTTGTTCAATTATTCCTATGTATAATATGAAATATATTCAAGTCAATACGTAATTATTCTTAAATTGCATAGTTTACATTGCGAGCTAGTCTTAGTTAGAGAACTATTGACAACCAGGAAACACTGGGCATCTATTCGGTCTAGAGTTAGGGTTGATCAGGACTTTGTATCTTACAACAATCATCAAGTAATCATCTATAAGAAAGTACTCCACTCTTAAATTGCTTGAACTTGATTAATGATACATGACTATTAAATTAATGACCCACCCCATTTTCATTTCATTTAATGTTATATTGATTGAGCTTATCACTTTCGATTTTTATTTCTAGCGCTATTTTTCCCTCTATTTTCTCTTTTTTTTCAAAGGATGCCATTGGTGGTTATTCATTCTTACCATTTTTAGTTATCGTTATTATCTGTTGGATATTTTTCTTTTTATATATGATTGAAACAAAGAATCGTACGTGTGACAGTAATGCACGAGATTTAGCTACAGCAACAGTTGTCGCTTGTCAACGTCCATCAAGATTAAGTTATAAAAATGAAGAACCATTTTACTCAGATGAATAAAATGATTTTTTTGTTGTTGTTGAGAAAACTGAATTCTTACAACCCCTCCCCCCCTAAGAAAATAAAGATAGATTTTTTTATTTTGTTGATCATTTTAAAACTGTAATCTTTTGTTTTGTTCGCAAGTGGTATTATTATTGATATTATCACTGATTTTCTTTATACCTTCTTTCGACAATATACGTTTGTTTGTTTGTGTGTTTGTGTGTCGTTTTCTTTGTTTTTTGTGAGAGAATAATTTCTTAAAACACACTTTTCTCTATTGCATTTTCTTAATTTGTTTATCTCAATAAAGTTTAAATGGGAGGGAAATATTTCAGATGATCTTGTAATGACAAATAATGCGAATATTTGGCAGTGACATTGTTTCTACTGTAAATAATAATGATTACATAATATCCAATGATTTTAATTTATAATTTAATCTTAGATACACATTCTTTATTGATTTTTATATTAACATTTGAAACAACAACAAAAAAAAACAGAAAAAACGATAATTTTTTTTACTGGTTTTGCTTTTTTTTCGTGAAACATTCAATGAAAAATCCGATTTCACATTTGATTCTTTTTTTTTGTTTTTTTAAAAATTATTTTATGATATGATTATTAATAAATATTGCTTGAAGAGTGAATGGAAAATTATTTCATTTAACCGTTTAAGTATATATATATATGTATATATACATATATATATATATATATCAGTCATTCAGCTACAACGTAGGACCAGGCACATATATGCATCAGTCCAAGTTGCCATACCACGTTAGCACAACAAGATGAACACCAAATTCACAGAAGTATTTAATTTAGTGGTGGTAATATATAAAAAAAAGATTGTATATAAGGATATATTACAAGAAGAAAGACAGATATTAAGCAATTTCATTCTCACAGTACTAAAACTGAAAATAGATTTATCCGCTGTCGTTGATAGCTCTTCAACGTATGTCCACTCTAATGCTTCTCTTCACTTGCTCGTTTGCTTCTGTGTATTCGGGACCCCAAATGCCCTGGTACGGCAGAGAGTGGAGAGAATCCATCCTCTCTCTCGAACTGCTCTCACACGACTGCGGGTATACAGCCTCTGCCAGGGAAGTCCTACTCACTGTCTTCTCGTGGCATTACCGTTATTTACGAAAGTGAGAGGAAGAAAATCGAATGTCCGGCGCTTTCACCGGGTTGGTGGACACGGAAAGTCCACTTAGGGGAAGTGGAAAACCCTGATTCCAAATTAATTTTGCACATGGGCTCCAGTATCCTGAGGCAGCAAATGGCGTATAGACCAATCGTCGATCATCGGCTACCATGGGACCGCATCTCCTCACAATGCTCCATCACCTTGTGGATTAGGCCTTTAGGTCAAGGGCTCGGGGTGTGGCCTCCTAAGAAAACCACTTGCTACGGTTTGGGGACCCGAGCAGTATTATAGCCCTCACGCAATTAAATGAAATGATGTATTCTGTGTGGCGGATGTATATCTGGCGCTCCTATGTACTAATATTTATGTGTTCAAATAAATAAATAATAAAATCTGTGTATTCAGACTGTGATCCGTTCCTTAAGATGATACTTGTTGCGGCCCAGAACCTTCTGACACGTTGAAGTTAGTGTTTCTTTGATCCCTTTCCAGTTGTCCTCCATAACAGTTTCCTTTTTTGTGAGTAGATTTGTAAGGTATGGAGCGGGTTGTTGAGAGTTATCTTGAATTTGTTGAGTTTTTCAGTATCTCAAAGGAAGGCTCTATCCGACCTTTGTACTGCTGTTTCCCTGGTTGTCATCCTGTTTCCCTGTCATACTTCATTTTGTGCTTCTTTGGACAGCATCACAGCAACTCTCTGAATGTGTGAACAATTATCCTCTTCGTGATCGGACTACAGCAGCTTCTCTCCCTTACCTTATCTTTTCTGTCCAGCTTGGGTCTAATGGACTTCGCTGATTCCGATAATCACTAAGCTGTATCTCTTCATTTCCGTAACCGTTTGACTGCTCCTCGTGATCTCTTACATTGTCTGAACATTCCATGTACCTACATTAATTGTTGCTCTCGTTGTTATAAGGGGCATAAACTTCATGACTTCCGAAGTATATTGGCTTTAACTATAAGACTTCACGCTTCTTCTGAATGAAGATCCTTCATGTCGGAGGGCAGATATTAAATGGATTTAATTATTTATTCTGGTTAGCGTTTTTAGCGATGTTGTTTTCTACGGGATGGGATCGCTGACAACATTCCAAACCCTCCTCGTTTACCTGAACATCGGACAAATAGTAGCCCTAGAAGGACTACAGGCAGAGTTATGAAGTGCAAAAATTTCCTTAACACAATCTATTCAGAAGAACAACTAAGATCATTACTTTAGGTGATAAGCTAAAAGAGGAAGATAATATAATAAACTTCACAACATTTAACAACTTTCCTAAGAATATTATTAAAAACATGTTAAAACAAAACTATCCTTCTTTAAATAACAATTCTAATGAAAGATCTTCGATTTGTACTGTGATTTCACCTTACAGAAAAGATAGGATGAAAATATAACGGATATTGAAAGCGTACAAAATTAACGTTTTCTATAGGACAACCAGCATTGTACGCAACTCTTTAGTTAGAATAAAAGATAACATCCTTTAGATAAAATTGTAGCAACAGATTAGTTTATGTCAATCACGATAACTTCTATATTGGAGAGTCTTTTCGTGATATTCCAACTCGTGCCAAAGTACATACTATTTTCATTACCAACCAGATGGATATTAAAAATATTAAAATAATTCAGAAACATTTTACCAACAATAAGGAGTGGCGAATAGCGGAAGCGTTTCATATTATGCAAAATTCCTTTGTCTTCAATAGGAAAGAAGACCTGAATATGCATCCAACCTGGACTATTTATCCAAACGACCAAACTTTTCCTTATTTATTTCAACCTCACTACTTCATACTACAAATGTATACATTTTTCATGCCCACATTCTAACACAAATTAATATAGTGACACGCCATACAAATCTGCCTGAACCGAAAAAATAACTTGAAATTAACTTGCTCAGACTTAATATGATTTGGATCATAATAAAAATATTGTGCTTTAAGTTCTTTATACTATTTAAACTTTTATTAATTTTATTTCGATTATTTATTCACTTTGAAGAGGTGGCTTACCTTAAGTCACGAAACTCCTACTACTTCTACTAATCGGGATATCACCAAGAATACATTTATCGTTGATTATTAAACAATTTTGTATGGACAATATAATATAAATACACTATAAATAATATGGATATACTTATCGTGAGGAAATAAAAGGAAATGACGTTTCACTCAGGTTTTTTACAGTGAAAACTAAGATTTTTATTAACGAATTGTCTCATACACTTGTTAAAGCACTTGCTAAAGCAAAGGATATTTTGCCTTATTAACTACAAATTAATGTTAAACTAATTCATAAGATATTTCATGCCATAAAATGCGAAAAACCCGTCAATGTCACTGCAGTAACCAGCTGAGTCCAATAATTTGTTCAGTGACTTGTATTGCATTTCAAAAATACGTAACTTATAACTTGACGTCACCCTGGATAATTGTGTTAAATCGTAAGTCTTTGTAAAAAGTATTAGCGTACCTAGTATGCCAGATACAAATGAACAGCTTTAAGTGTCCAATGTTACAAGCTGTTAGAATATACTACTGAATATGTCTATTGCTTTAGGAAATTCTTCAAAGAAGACTATACTATTTCACAATCAGCCTTCTACCAAAAAGAATTAGGCATAATAACCAGTAAATATTTTTCCAGGTAGTTGATTCATAGGCTTTCAGGTTTATCTGTTGCCTAAAAAACGTAAACTGTGTAATTTGCTTCCCTGTTATGGTATTGTATATAAAGATTTTTATTTACGTTGGATTTCTTAGTCACATTGTGTTAGAATGTTTCTTGAATAGATCAGTGTGCTTAATAAAAAAAGGTATTGTTCCTCTTTTTCAATCATCCAGAGATTCGGAAAAGACAATTTTGATATGTTTTATTTAGAGTTCAGATTTACTAAACATATATCATTTCATACTTCTACGAAGAAACATATGCATATAATATCATCCATCGACTTTAATAATAGATATGTTCAGTACGTGCATTGAACTTTAACGTTTTGTGATGTTCTCTACTTGATTACGACAGAATACGATATAGAAATAACAACACCAGAACGTGCAGAATTTTACAGTAAAAATATTCAAAAGATAGAAGAAGCAGGGGAAGTGATTATTGAGTAAGAACCAAAAATGTTAATAATATTAGCTTTAGAATGATTGTAATTCAGTCAATTAACAAGGAAGCAAGTAATGCTATTATCCTATCGTAGCATGCTACATTGATATTTTAGAAGGCACTATCAAGTTCTGATTGAATAGAATCTCTTTGGCTTCATTAGAGCTTTTGAAGGCTTTGTTATCCTTTTTAAAGCTGTCTTAACAGGTTTCCATCTAAACTTAAACTTTTTAAATGTCTAAAATTTGTATCAGTTATATGTCTGTGTCCGTTTAACAGGTAAATTCGATCATTAACATGTTTATTTAGTTCTAATTGTATGTATATTCTTTCACTCATTGATGCATAATATGATTAATTCAATACCATCAGTATGTTATATAAATTATTAATTGATCAATCTATATTGTACAATCAGTTCAATTTACATTCATTGGCCTCTTAATATATCTTTATATAACTAGCTTGAAATTCACTATCCATGATTTTATTTCCAAATGATATTTGATTTCATTTGATTTTTTTCTGGTAAAGTCAGTTAAGATGAAAAATTTATGTGGTCAGTTCTGTTCACTACTAAAAAAGAAAAAAAACGTCATGATTTTACTGAGTTATTTGTTGTTGTTGTCGTCGTCGTTGTTTTTCTTTTTTCTACTTCCTGATTATTTATTTGACCTGATTTTAAGGACATATTCCACATTGAAAATAGAACTCAAATGACTTCAATTGAGAATAATATTTTTTGAAAGAAAAGGGATCATGAAATTCTTTATATTGTGGTTTTCTTAAAATTTAATCAAAATGTTTTCCTTTGTGTATTTAAACTGAAGTAACAATAGAAATGTTCATTATGGTAAATTGTTGTGTTTTGAATAAACCGACTAGAAATGAATGAGTATACATATGAAAATGTAGGAAAAACAGAATACTTTCTTATTTGATCTTTTCTTTCTAATTATTATTATTAATAATTAGTATATTGTTTATGGGTTTTGTAAACTATACTGTATACATTTCTATGTCAAAGTAGCCTTCAACACAGACTAAGCCATATTGTATAGTTAAATAGAATAAGCAATCAATACAATAAAAAAAGTAACTAATGATGTTTTACACAGTTACAGCATGAATAGTGATTGACTGACATTATCTCAGTTTTTTTAAATAATATTCAGGAATGGAACATAGGAACCTTGGTAACAACATACAATTACACTGAAAGATCTAATGTATTATTGAAAAGGATAATGTCAATTAGAGTAGTAGGATAGAATTATATTTCCTAAGTGTTTACGACTGTATGGAGATGAATAAATAATGGCAATAATTTTATATATTTTTTGTCAGTGTTATATAAATTTCAATATATTGGGTTATCTATATTATTGTGATATCAGTCATTATAGGCATAACATTTCACATTAGTTTCATAAAAGAAATGATAGTTTACAAGACTACTTTGTTGATTTCAAGTGTTTGACTACTTTTACAGTAATGGATTTGTTATATCCCGTGGAGATTTATGAATGATAACTTTGAGGACTGTTTATGGACAAATATGGTATATACATTTTCTATTGTATAATTGTTAAGTAATTTAACTATTCATATTCGTGTCCCTCTTATTATAAGCTTTATTTTGACCTATGAACTATTATTAAACAATTGACCATTCTTGAGTTATCCCTAGTCTATTAATTACTGTTCCCCCTATTCACAGACACATTTGGCTAAATCTTGTACAAATATTATTTTATATTGTATGGTACGATGTGGTCAGTTTCTTTGGTATATAAACCCAGTATGTTTGAGAATAATGATTCATATTGCAGTGGCTGTTATTGGTCTTCTAAACTTAACTGGCTGGACTAGGCAGAAAGCAGGACTGATAAGTGCTCAAGACTGCTCGTACGGCTATTGTGTATCATTGCTCTGATCGATAATTCACTCCTATCTCATTGGCAGGAATCAGCACGTTCATATATAACAGGACACGCACGCACTCACTCAATATAACAGGATTCATATGCATTTCAAAACTTTATAACTTGTACAAACTCATTGTAGTTGCCAGGATCTCTGATAGGCTGAAGTTTGATATCAGCCAAGGAACAATGAAAAATATGTTATTTTCTAGTAACCATAATCCAGATCATTTTAGATACGTTTGATGAGGAAACTGTAACTTCACACTAATTAAATGATTCTCCTTATATCTTGTGATCAGATCAGCGTTTAAAATATTCAATCATGTTGAGTATAATGAAACTGAAGGTTGTCTTCAGTGTCGAATGATACACCACTGAAAAGTTATATAAGAAGACAGAAGAAGTACTCCTTATAACTTGCCTCCATTAGATTTTAATCCAACATATGTACGTTATAGAAAGTATGTTATGGCAAATCAGCATTCCTACCTTTGAGTAAATGTTATATCATACGGTCTAGAGAGTCTAAAATTTAACATGAAGAAAATTGATCAAACTACGCACTTATTTGACTGTGGGGCTGTAAAATGATTTACTTAATAACATTAAATCATTAAATTTTCGAATGCATATTTAAAATAAATCATATGACAATAAGAAACTTCCATAGAAGTATCGACGACTTTCAGAATCAATTATTCAAAAGTTTATTTTCGAAAGCGTCTATTCCATATCGTGGATTTGAATCTTGAAAACGTGTTTTTTAAAATGTTACTTTCCAAAAATTAAGTCTTCGACATTTGCTTAATTTATGATATGTAAAATGTTAAAATGAAAACTGTCTATCTGAATTAAAGGGTTAAGTAGACAACGTTAAGTAGTTGGTTAAAGTCTCAGAACTGATATCAACACTGAGATGTTTTTCAACCAGTTAGTGAATCACAAGCAGGATAAAACGCATCCTTTATTTCGCTGGCAGTCACCATCTTACGTCTTAAAAACATTTGATGCTTTTTCATTATATTTTTTACCTACTCACAAGTAGTCATAATGGAACCAAACTGGTAAAATAGGTGTCAACGACACAAATACAGAGTAAAAGAATATAGCACAGTTCTTCAAGTAAGTTAGTGAAAAAGATTGTAAATAAAAGTAGGGTTCAGTTTGAAGTGATAAGATAGTGGTAAAGAAATTATGGACAGTGTTCTCGAGTTCTAGCTTATTGCTAGAATACAATGAATTAACGTTATCATTATATGTAATTTGGAGATATCAAAGGTGTTAGATGTTTGGGTTTGGTTGTCAAGAAAACATACTGGATGATACTTGTTAGCAAAATATTTCCGTAGTCTGGAAGAAATTGACAAGTCTTGTAAGATTTTAACTTGCTTTATACAACTTCACAGTTTCAAACACTGACACTCAGCTACTCGGGCCGCGACCAACCTCCTTTAAGACTGAGATTCTCAGGGTTAGTTGATCATTGAGTAGCTAGTAATGTTATGTCTACATTGGGAAACGGACCTTTGAATAGGATTACTGATAAGCTTGAATTTTATTGCCGTCACATTGATGCAACTTTCGTTATTATCAATTGGGATATTCAGGAACTTTCAAGGTAATACAACAGTAAATAATTAGGAATAAAATTTACGAGTGAGGAGAAAATTGACAACAAATTTTATTTCGTCAGTTTTTTGTTAGGTCGAAACATGGTTCTATCAGTAGATGTATGCACAGAAAAAGCTCATCGGTATGGTGATAAGCACATTTCTTTGACATCTTAGCCATTGGTTGTAAAAAAACTTAGTTGGGTACTTTGCAAGTGAAGTTAAGGAAATAACTCAAACGACATCATAAAAAATAGTGAGTATAAAGAGCAAACAAATGATATATAGATTAATGATAATGAGTAAAATTGTTTGTAAGGCCTTATTCAGTCAAGAAAGAGGTAAGAGTGCTACAAATAACCTGTGAATACAAATACTTAAGTTATTAACCCGAATCCCTGTAGCTTCTGTTTATGAAAGAGACGGGATTGAACCCTAAAGAGAAAAGTAGAAGGTATACGACAAATTAGTCCAAATGACCTGATTCTGTCTTCTGCATGGCCGCTATTGGCTATGTGTGACAGAAAGGAGCCGCATATTGTTTTCTTTATACCCTGTCTCACCAATAAAAGAAGGTATAAATTGGATTTTTTTATTAGATATGTGTACACAGTGAACAATAAAATTGTATCATCCTCGGTATATGAGAAGCTTCTCTATAAAAAAAACAACTGAACACAAACAAAGCTAGTGATATGCTATGGGATAGGCTGACCAAAGCAGTAAAAAGAAACTTCTATTAATCTGACTTCTATCATTTTCGATTTGACTTTTATGGTTCTTCAAGAAAAGATAACTCACTTGATTTGCTACAAACATGTATATCTATGAATCCAGCCACTCCTGTGTAGAAAGCCATATCATGCATGCATCCAAACAGCTTAGCTAATGAGTTATTGAATACTTATCAAGTATTTATATTTATAAGTAATTTGTATCACTCTTATCTCCTCCTATACTGAACAAAGCTTAGCAGATGATCTTACATAATATTGTTAATATTCTGAATGTCTTTTGTTTATTTATTGTCCTTCACCTTTTCTCTAATATATTCTTCTCTGCCTAGTAATTTCAACACATCTTACTATGTAGTTTTATACATTTATACTGAATATTATTTCTGTTTTTTCTTAGTTTTTGAACTAATTCCTTCTTTGAAACTTTCGTTCAAGTCTTTGTTATTATCATTACTATTATCATCATTAGAACAATTCACCTGTTGTCATGATAACAATTTTTTTTACATTTAACTTATTATATTTATTGATAAAATCTATTTCATTGTTACTATTGTCTCTGGAACTGCCATGATGATGATGCAAAGTTAATTGAAAACAATCTTGTTCACTAAGCAAAGAAGGATAGTGGCTAGCAGTGGAATCCACGATGCGCGTTTTACTCTATTCAGGACTCGTCAGATAGATGTACCTGCATCTCAAAGTTGGTGTTCACTCTGGGACCTGAACCTAGCAAACTTCACTCCAAACGCCATCGTGTTATCCACTTAGCTACTGAGTCCTGATAGACACTAGCTTGTGCAATGGAATGAAGTTTCAACTCGCCTGTTGTTGTTTACTTGTATCTTTCTATAGTTGTTTGGGACTGTAATTGATCAGTCTCTTGTTGGCATATGTACATCTTGATATTGCCTAAAGTCACAAGCTTTATAAGCGACGATAGATAATGGCAATATCTAGACAGTGCTCACAGGATGCACATATGCCAACAAGAGACTGATCAATTACAGTCCTAAATAACAATGGGAGGATACAAGTAAACAACACCATGTGAATTTATTCTGGTTCAGTATTTACAAGAATGAAAATTCGAATATGTATAACACAAATGTTAAAACAGTAGTGAAGATATAATCCTCTTACTTACTGTTCACTTAACCAATAATTTCTACATTCTATTTTAACACTTCATATATATAGATATAGATATAGATTTAAAAAAGAACTTTCAAAACTTTGTTTAAATTATGTATTAAATTGGTAAACATAAAGTAATTAATTTAACGTAATAAAATTAAACTGAAATCTTCTTTTATATCTGAAAACAAAAGATAAAGAAAACGTAAAAAAAAACAATCACCAAGTGATTATCTTTAAAACGAATATATTTGATTGGTTGACAATGAAGAAATGTGCATGGCTTATTTCTTATTGAAATGACTGAGAATTAGTTAGATGAAGGAGTGGCCTTGTACTCAGATTCAAATACCTAATAGTTTACAGTGGGGGTTCTTTTGTTTACTAATTTAGATCAGATAGCAACAGCTTAAGAATGATAACCTTCCTTATAGTCATTAAGCCAAACAGATTTCAATAATAAGTATTTGAAGATTGTGAGATTGTTAAGTGAATCGTTGAGAGTTGAAACTATCATTGCAGTTTTGATGAACTGAGATTAAACAATAAAGATTCTATGCCGCATAGTTTCTTGCAGAATTAAAAATAGTCATATATAATGTAAGACTAACAGATGAAGCCACGTATGTATACTCTGATTCTACCGACTTGAACCTATGAACAAGTAGGTGGAATAACTGAAAACGTATTAACCAAGATTATATGAAATATAGTAATGACAACTCAAATATTTACCAGACGCAGATTAGTGTACATGTTTTCTAGCCACTCTATAAGCATGAAGGTTAATGATTACCTAAACTGAAGTGGTAGAGAGAGGTTCAAAGCTGTAGTTTAGTGCCTGGTAATTAAACACATTAACTATCAAGCCGTCACTTTTCTGTGCACTCCGTTACCGACTTCATGTATTGGTCATTTTGAATATTCACAACTATTCATGTAAGACATTTTATGTGGCACCATTCAAACCTTAGTTAAACGAAATATAGAATTGGAACTTATTATTTATAGTCTGACCTCATGAAATTTCATATTTCATGTAGTCAATAAACGTTTAGTTAAAATTTGATTGCATTTCTTTAATATGCCATTTATCAATAAAATGTTACTAGGATGTACGGCATTAAAAAAGTATTGCTTACATTTAAGATGGTCGTATCTATTTTCACGAACACATGTGTATTGTCTGTAAATAATATGAGAATTTAAGGAAATAAAGCAATTAGTTAAGATCGATGTCAATGATCACAAATCGACTGACATATATGAAGTCAATAAATATTATGTAATCCGTTTGATATTCTAAAGTTGTAGAAAATACTGTGTTGAAGTAAAAAAATGAAAGTATGCTAAATGCAGAATAACTTGTGCAATTGAGTTTTTGTTTTCATTTTGCACTAATTCATTTCACTAAATTATCGTAGTAAACGAGGACACAAACGGGGCGATCAAATGTATTTGAATAAGAAATTACAGAGATTTTTGTTAAAGTGTGAATATAATATGACCAATACTTCATTTACAAAATGTCAATCCACTCTCTCAGACTTTGCTGTTCCTTCATTTCCATACCAATCACTCTGTGTGGCCGTACTTTTCTATTTGATCTTTTCAACCTTCTGCTGTTGGGCATTCCACTTTCGAATGATGTTACATAGTACTTCTATCATCCCATATTAGTAGCCCACAGCACACTTCGATTGTCCCCACCCGTGTTATTGTTCACTACAGTAGTAATAGTAGTGTTGTGGCTGATATGTAGCAATTATCAAAACACTATCCACCTATTACCATGTTTATATGTTGGCAGTAGTTATTTATTCATGCGGAATAATACGAATATAATGAAATATGTATACACGATTAGCGAGAAAATCATTTGTGATACCTCAGTGTTAGTTGCATTTCATCCATAAAAACTATCCATCTGTAGATATAAAAAACGCTAATTACTTACAGTGATTGAAATTCCAGTTAAGAGTGCGTAAGGTAGGTTTTCATTCTTTTTAAACATGACTTTATTGATATTTTTGTAAAGTAAAAATGTTCAATGTTTTCATACACAGTCATATTTTTAATAATAACTTACCGTACAAGCCGAATCTGGATCCATGGTGGAGATTGTATCAATGTATTTGTCAATGAATATTCCTCCTAGAAATGAACACTGAAATCCGGAAAAAAATAACTGTTTTTAGAAAAAATACAGATCGCGGATATTTTATTATGTTATTTTGTTAATGATGAAGCTTTTGCTTCAAACAATAAGTAGGTTTAGACAAGCCTGAATTACTTAAATAACAATAATAGTATAACAATTAAATATTAATCTTTAATTATATACTTTCTTAGTATAAATACCTGGTTCATTTATACTTTTATTACTAAATAATATATTACTTATGTGGATATGAGTAACCTACACCACAAAAGTGGGATTTCAAACAATAACGGGAGAAATATTAGTACACATTTCCAAAAGTAAAAGACAACTGCTGGAGCGGCGTCCAGCGGTGTTAAGTTCTAACCTCAACTAATCAATGAACTTAAGCATTTGTGTGCAAGACGGAAGGTCCTGGGGTCGAATTCCGCGAACAGGATCGTGGATTTGCACTTCTGAGGAGTCCCATAATAGAACGAAACTGCCATCCAGTGCTTCCAGGTATTCGATGGTTGTTTAATGTCAATCGATTCATGACCCCAATCAAAAACGTAATGATCTCCACAACTCTATACTGATAAAAGACAATTATTCTAATCTAACGATACAACATTAAATTGCTTTGTATCCGAATGTTAGTTGTTCCATCAATAGACAATCAAATATCAAGCAAACTTTATTTAAATAAATGGATCAAAATAAGGACGAGAGGGTGCATACTAATGAACTAAATAAATTGTGTAATTGATTCAACAGAAAGTTTCAACGAGTAGACCTTATAATAAAACTAAATAATGTAATACGAAGACGAAGATTATCAGAACTATGTGATATATATATATATATATATATATATATATATATATATATATATATAAGGTCAACTAGAAGGGAAATTAGGGGATAAGAAGAGACATGAATAATAATAATAATAATATCGTGAATGCAATTTGAAACCTAATCACTCTGGATAATAAGCTAATATTACTAGGGTAGGATTAAGGTAACAACAAACTGTTTTTGAATACACAAAGGGGGTTTGAATTTTCAAAAAATAGTTTGTTCTTACCTTAAACCTAACATGGCAATATTAGCTTATTATCCAGAGTGATTAGTTTTCAAAAAAATTTTAATATTATTATTTTTATCAGTATTATTATACTTACCTACTCTTACTCCCCACTTCCAGTCTAGTTGACCTTTTGTTTTTATATATAAATCTTCTTAACAAGTATAGTACGTGTGATTTGATTGTTCAAAATGTATTGCGCTAATATATCACATAGTTCTGATAATACTCGTCTCCTCATTACACTATCGAAATTTATCAAAGGAACTAATTGCTTTAAAACTAAATAAGTTGACCAAGCACAACAAGTGTTTATTAACACTTTTCAACGCAAGATACTTCGCATCCGTCTGCCAGACAGTATCAGCAACATTCTACTGCGGGAGACAACAAACAAGATTCCAGTGGAGGAAGAAATCAGGAAGAAGAGCTGGAAGTGGAATGGGCACACTTTGAGGAAATCACCCGATTGCGTCAGAAGACAAGCCCTCATATGGAATCCTGAAGGCCAAAGTAGAAGATGAGGACCAAAGAACACATTACGCCGAGAAATAAAGACAGAGATAAAAATAATGAACAAAAGTTGGATAGAACTGGAAAAGAAGGCCCAGGACAGAGTGGGTTGGAGAATAATGGTGGGAGGCCTATGCTCCATTTGGAGTAACAGGCGTAAGTAATTAATTAAGTAAGTAAGCACAACTGCTCAAAATAGAAGAAACACAAATATGAAATAGATTTGGAAGTCTTAGCATTGAACGTTTACTGAATAAGTACTTGATTTATTCTGTGATAAACCTGATAACTGTTTTACATCACAATGAAACTTATATTTTGTATTAAAATATTTTTGGAAATAAATCTGACATTCAATAATCAGTAATATATATAGATTGAGATCAAACAAATGAAAACCGACTCACCTGAACTTGAAAAGATCCAGTTAGTGAACAAATTTTATCAACAGCTTGATGCACAATTGCTTTTGCTTCTTCAGATTTACTGAAAGTTTTCAAATATGCTACAGCCATTTCACATGTTGAACACACTGCAATAAACAAATAAATAAATATATATATATATCAATTAGGCAATTTTTTAAAACGTCATAATGTTGTAAATTCAGTTTCTATAGGAAAAATTGTAAAATGATCAATTTATACAAATTTTGCTAAGTTTGTGTGCAAAAACGATATTAGAAGGAGGTTTTGTGGACAATTTAGTAGTTTTATATAGTTGGGATCATGAGTAAATTGAAGCTAGACCACCATGGAAAACCTGGAAGCACTAGACGGCCGTCTCATTCTATTAAGGTACTCCTCACCAGTGTGCATCCACTTTGGATGCCGGCTCAGTGGTTTACGGTTAAGTGCTCTGGTGCGGGACTGGTAGGTCCTGGGTCCGAATTTTGCAAGGCGGGGTCGTGGATGCGCACTATTGAAGAGTCCCACAATAGGACGAAACGGCCGTCTAGGGCTTCCAGGTTTTCCGTGATGGTCTAGCTCCAATTGACCCATGATCTCAACTGTACAATAACGAGACATCCGATATCTCATCTTTCCTTGGCCGTAATTCCTTCTTGTAGTTTGTTTCAATTTTGTTCATTTTTTCCGTTTTTTTAGTTTTATTACCATTATTGATTTTTTTAAATTAGTGCTTTGTAATTTTAAACAGTAATCAGTTATAATTCACTTGGTGTTGTTAACTTGTATTTTCACATTGTTATTTAGGACTGCGATTGATCTGCCTCTTGTTGACATATGCGCATCGTATACAGACTGCCTCGTTATTGCCTGAAGTTATTATGACCTATGAACAAGTTTTCTTGATTATTATTCAGTTTTTCTTATTATAGCCTTTATGTTTGTCATTTTTCTTCATATCTTACCGTAAATTATTTTTATCTTTATATTCTTTTCTTACCCCTTGATTATTGCGTAATCTTATATGATAATAAGAGTCTGGAATCAATTTATGATGTAATCATTTCTATCCTTCTATAGACGTATATTTTCCACATATAACAATAAATACGAATGTAAAGCTTAAGTAGATGATTTAGTCGAAAAGAATATTTTCTTCACTGAATTCTCTTGATTTTTATATAAATTTCTAATGAAAAGAGAATCGTGACAGTGTAGTTATCTACCACAAATTCTTTTAAATCTGAAGATGTTAGATGACTTGATGCCCATATTTTTGTTTTTCTATTTAATCTCTGTATACAACGTTACTGAAATTCGTTTTTTTATGAATTAAATATGAAAACAAACATAACATTCCAATTATATATGTCATTTCGTCGTCAACTTACAAAAGCTGGAATTACCATATTGAGGTCTTTCTAATGTAGGCTGACACCAATTCAACATCTAAAAAAACGGTAAAATTAATTAAATTAACATTTCTCTGTAAGTAAAACACACACACACAAATAACAAGAACATGCGTTTGCTTCTAATAAATTATAAATCAATTTTAAAATATTTCACACAACTTACTGTTTTCAAACGGTATGATTCTATGAATTCAATGAAATCTTGTACAAGTATTCTTGCTTCAGTCGCCATTGAAGTTTTGCACTTGATGGAAAAAACACGATTAAATACCAATAAAAAACATAGATAAAATGTTTAATATTTAGTTAAATGATTTTTAATATAATATATTATGTATACATTAGTTATTACTACCAATTATTCGTGAACTGCACTTGTTGCCCAACACTGTCAATCATTATCAAAGTCAGAATCTTCAATACAAACGTGAAGATAGTTCTACTGTACGGAGCTGAAATGTGGAGAACTACCACAACCATCATCATAAAGTACAAATGTTTACAAATAATTAAATACGAAAAATACTCAATGTCCGTTGACTGAATACTATCCGTAACTGCCTGCTATGGCAGAGGACAAACCGACTTCCATCTGAATGAGAAATTAGGAAAGGATGTGGGTAGCACATACATTACGGAAATCCCCAAACTACATACGAAGCAAGTGCTAACTTGAAATCCTGAAAAAAAGGGGAGAAGAGGAAGGCTAAAGAACACACTGCATCGAGAACTAGAAGTAGACATGAAAAGGATAAATAGCAACTGAAAAGAACTGGAAAAGATTCTCCAGGACGCAGTTCGATGGAGAATGCTGCTGGGTGTACTACGCTCCTTTATGAGGAGTGTAATTAGGTAATCATTTATTCTCTACAACATGAACATTTATAAGAAAATAATACTAAAACACGTTACTCATTACATCTGTACATAAAGATGTAATGAATATTGTATGGAACTTCTTTCAAAAATTCATTGAGTAAATAAACTTATTCACCATACCGTTTAATGTATAAACTATAAAAGGTGTACCTTCATTTACATACAAATGAAAACAACACTGATGCTAAATGAACTGTTTAGTTTGAATAGTCTGTATAACAGATAGGGTACAATAATATGAATTCATTTTATTTTTTCATTTCTCTCTAGCTGTTTATAAACGTATTGTATGACATAATAATAGATAGTTGATATTATTACTTCATTTCCATTCATGTTATCCATTCCCATCTTCAGATGAAAGTACGTGTCGTTTATCCATATATTTTTAAACACTTATAATACTAGGAACCGTTGTCATTCTAGTTTGCTTTTGTCAACAATATCTATTATATTTGTATGTAAAAAGCTGAAGAAACCATGAAATCAAATAAAAACGCATCATTCTGATTCAGCTGTTATTCTGACTATAGTTAAATTCAGTAAGTGGATAGAAATAAGTAAGAAACTAGAAGTAAATAAAACGTAAATGTTGGGTAACACTTTTACATCTTCAAACAAATATAACAGAGTTTGAAACAAGTAGATGTTTGGACTTTAATTGTGAAATTTATACATTCGGCATAAAGTGACATTTGACGTATTTCAAAGATATCATGAACTTATCAAAAATAAACCACGACCGAAAACTTACAAACACTGCATGGCTGTTCCGTCTTAGTATGGGATTCCTCAGAATAGTTAAACCACGACTCCAATTGCAGGAGTCGAACTTAGAACCTTTGATCTCGCGCTCGCATAGTTAACCTCCAGTTCGTTGAGTTGGCATCCAATGTTAATCGGTTCCATTACCGATTATGGGGTCATGGTAGACATCACTGTTGAATACCGGCTCCGTGGTTTAGAGACTAACTATTCGCGTGCGACATCGTAGATCCTGGATTTGATTCCTGCATGTGAGGTTGAAGATGGCCTCTCCTGTGTAGTCCCATGCTAGGACAGAGAGGTCATTTATTACTTCCAGGTTTTTGATTATGGTTTATCTTAGATCGGTTATATCCAGACGTGAATGAATCAGTTTCAGTTTGGAAAGGACAGGAGGCTTGATGGCCTGTGTTAGTCTGGTTTTACTCACGGTTTTTTTACGTCACGGTTTTACTCTTGTGATTTGTTGCATCGTAAGAACCATCGACCAAGAATCGAATAAATGAATGATAACCTTTAGGAATTACTTATGAACTAATATTATACGAAGATTCTTATCGTATGACTATTAAGTAACTATGTTGTATTCATACTCATGTTCCTATCATCATAAGCTATATTTGAACTATTGACTTTTATCATACGATTTACTATTCTTGAGATATTTCTTATTTATTAGTCACAGTTTCTCAAAATCACAGCCACTTTTGGGCTTGATCTTGTGTAATTGTTATTTACTATTTTATGATGTGGTGTGGTGTGTTTTGTTTTTACATAAATTGTGTATGTCTGAAATATATGTTTCGTATCGTGGAGTCTGTGATTGGCGTTCTGTACTTAAGAGGCAGGGCTAGGCAGAAAAAAGACCAATTGGAACTCTAGGCTGCTCGTACTGGTGTATGCGTCATTAGTTATGTCTTTTAAGCCAGCCTATCTGAATTGACAACCATATTTTGCGATAATCTTATAAGCTAAAGACATAACAAGATCAGTTCGTAATTGCAAGGATTTAAACACATGAATTATAAATAAACCAGTATTCAACCTGGAAAGCTGTAAAGAAGCCTAAAATAAAAAGCTGTATATTCACTTAGTATTGTTTGTTTAAATCTTCTCATTGATGCTTAGGATTGCAAATAATCAGTTTCTTTTTGGGATATGTGCATAATGTGAGTATTGCCTCGATATAGCCTTAATTCACAAGCATTATAAACAAAGATGGATAAAGGCTAGTGGTGGAATCGAGGGCGCGCGTTTCGTCCCATTTGGGACTCGTCAGCTGAATCTACCTACATCTCAGAGTTTGAACTCGAACCCAGTAAGGTTAGTTTCATACGCCATTGAGTTGTCAACTTAGCCACTGAGTCCTCTTATCCACCTGCTTGTGCAACGGGCTGAAGTTTAAATTCACTTGTTGTTGTTTATCTGTATCTTCCCATTGTTATTTGGGACTGTGATTCATCAGTCTCTCATTAGATTCCACTGCCAGCCACTATCCACCTTTGCTTTATAACTAATACTTAATTATAAATTGTTGTCTTAAATAATTCTGTAAACCTTATTGTTGTCATTAATTTTTCAACTGGTTGAAAGTTTACCAATGTTTCATCAATCAACAACGTAAATTCATTGACATACCTGAAGTCTTTTGTTTAATTCCTTTACATTGTCACATGTTATTGACACCAGATATTCAACCACATTTCCGATGAATTGTTCTTCTTTCATAATTTGCAAGCTTTTTTCTTGTGCCAATTCCAAAAGGTTACATGCTATAAAGTTGAAAACAAATGTAAAACAGTTTTCATTTCATTCTATTTTTGTGTATAAAAGTTAAGTAAGCAGATAACTAATGTAACCAGTGGTTGACCACTTCAACGTTTCTAAGCAAAATAATGGAAAATATAATTCCGTATTTGACTTCTATAGATCCAGTTATTGAAAAATAGCTCATGTTCACTACTAATGACAACCGTATATTATCACATTCTAAAGTTTAATAATATATGTCTCAACTCAGTAGTCAGTAGCTTCAAAAAGTTAAATAATTATGCTCAAATCCTGAAATGTTACTTATTCTTAGTTCAATAGAAAATCAACTCGTTTATTGTAAGCTGAAGTGAACTTTTTCTTGTCAGTTTTGATGCTCAATAATAAAGTGAATAGTTTTCTGGTAAAAGAAAATCGAACATTACAACCCTATATTGATTATTGCATAGTTAGTAATTGTGATTGGACACATGTTTCTTCCATTTAGAGATTTTAGTTCTATAGAACTTAAATAACAAAAATGATGTCTATGATCACTGATAAATTTCATAGATATTGAACAGATCAGTGACTTTGGTCATCTAGAACGGAAGTACACTTAACTAAATGAAACGATAAATACTGAGTCTGAATCACAGCTTAAATAAGAAAACTTGAATGTAAATATATTTCAAATACAGAAAAACTTAACCTCTACCTTGGATCTCATATCATATTCCTAATTGTAATATCTTGAAAACTTCAGTAATATTTATAGGCTACATGAAAGTATTGTTTGACGTCAAATAAAAATATGGTTTAACAGATATCAGTAGTTTACTTAACTCTATTAGATTAGAATAGTTTGTCATAGATTAACACTGAACTTCATATTCTCGGTGACAGTAAATGCTGTTATTTGGTATTTTCACTTCAAATTTATTTTTGTACTTTTACTATGACTGCTTTAATGGTATAAATGAGGTGTGTTTTTTAATGATAAACTTTTATAAGCATGAAACATAGTGTAATGAAATGCATTACATTCGTCATTGCAGAAACTGATCTCAGCAAAAAAGTTGAAATGTCTGACAGTCTCTCATTACGTAACATAATTTTATATAAGAACCTTTATAACAACTCTTCATTCCTATTGAAGAAAATCACTATATCAGAAGTGGTTTTGTGGATATTATAGTAATCTTTAATAGCTGAGATCATGAATCAATTGAAACTAGACCACCATGGAAAACCTGGAAGCACTGGACGTGGATCGGTTAAAGTTACATATTAACACCGTTGAATGCCGGCCAGCTCAATGGTCTGGAAGTCAAGCGTTCGCGCGCGAAACTGATAGGTCCTGGGTTCAAATCTCACAAGGCGGGATTGTAGATGCGCACTGCTGAGGAGTCCCACAATAGGACAAATCGGCCGTTGAGTGCTTTCAGGTTTTCAATGGTGGTCTAGCTTCATATGATTCATGATTTCAACTATTGAAAATCCCTATAGTTAAATATAGTGTACAAATATACATTTAGTTTAAAGATAATCAGAAAGCCGTATAAAAAAACGATAACAATGGTATTTCAACATTTAATTGATAAACTTACCAACATCTTTATAACCAAATTTCAACTAAATTAAATATATAAATGAAAAGATTAATTAGTTATTGATTTTATTATTTCTTGAGAAAGTACCTTACAGAATCATTTCATAGTTTCCAAGAAAAAAATCACATTATATTACCCTAGAAATTACCTTGAAATACTGGAGCCTTGCAAAATTCCATTGAATGGAGTTAAAAATAGTTCAATAACTATAGTATCTCGTATATACAGTTAGAAAACATTATAATATAAAGAATCGTTTTATCGTCTATTCAATTCACTAATGACTCTTATGGTATCATTTATTTGGACGGCCTATGCTCCTCCACGAGGGGTAACAGGAGTAAGTAATTAAGTATTATTTATTGTACTACATATATTCACTGAAAGGCATGACTAACTGATCGATTAATTGAAGTTTATCATTGTTAGTTTCATAACTTTAACTATATACACTAAACATCATTACCTCAGGTTGATTAATTGAAGAAACAAAACCTAGAATAGATTATTAGTTAATTATCAGTAGTATGTACTTGGTTTACCTGTTGTACAAAAAATGGTTAATATGAAAAAACCAAACATTCTGATTTGTATATTTAAAGTAATATTATCATCATTAAATCACTTTAAATATTATTCGTATTTCTTTTTTTTGTGTGTGTTCAAGTTTTAATGATCAAGTAGTTTAGATATTCAGTTTAAAATTTATCTAACTGGAACAAGGTTCATATGAAAGGTTCTTTACCTTCAATGATAAAAGACTTCATATATAATAATAATAATGATAATAATAATAATGGTAAATATGTTTATGATTATAATGAATTATTTATTGTATCATAAATTATACATGTATTATAACTTTATAAATTGTAAGGATGTTTACCTCTTTTGATAGTGAGCAGTTTTATTTTTTCTGAGTGTTACTAACCTTTGAGATTGCAGGTTCGGTATAAAAAATATCATGTGAAATAATGATAATTAGTATTAAGTTCATTTTTGTAAAAGATTACTGAATAATGAATAAATATCTTTGAGTACATTATTAAACAATGTGAAATATGTTAGCCACTAAATTGTAAAGTTAAAAGGAACAAAAATTGTTGAAAGATCCTCAAAGTATTCAAACAATAATATTAAAATGATCATTATGATCATCCAGAATTCATACGATGGATGAAAGTGCAAAGTTGTGGATGGAGGCCAACTGACAAATTCATTTCAAGTAAGGACTGGTGTCAGACAAGGCAGCTTACTCTCTCCACCCTTCCTCTTTCTTCTGGTGATTGACTGGATTAGGAAGACGTCGACATCTGAGGGGGAAGCATGGAATGCAATGAACATCTCAGAATCAATTGGATGATTTCGGACTTTGCAGATGACCTAGCTCTCTTATTCCATATAAACGAATGAATACAGATGAAGACAATCAGTGTAGCAGCAACCTTTGTAGGCCTCAACATATACAGAGGAAAAAGCAAGATCCTCAAACAAAACACGGAGAACACAAACCCAATCATACTTGATGGCAAAGCTCTGAAGAGTTGGGAGCTTTCACGTGCCTGAGAAGCATCATCTATGAACAAGAAGAATCTGATGCAGATGTGAAGGCATGGATAGGAAAAGCAAGGGCCTCATTCCTATAATTGAAGAACATATGGAACTCAAAACAACTGTCAACAAATATTAAAGTCAGAATCTTCAATACAAATGTCAACACAGCCGGTTCCACTGCATGTAGCTGAGACTTGGAGAACTAACTTAACTATCTTCAAAAAATACAGATATTTATAAACAGTTGTCTATGCAAAATACTCAGTATCCGGATAGCATCAGTATCAGCCTAATGTGGGAGTGAACAAACCAGCTGAAGCGGAAATTAGGAAAATTCGTTGGAAGTGGATAGGATACACATAGTGGAAATCATCAAAATGCATCACGAGGCAAGCGCTAATTCTCAATAGTAAAGGGAAACGGAGAAGAGGAAGGTTGAAGAACACAGTGCGTCGAGAATTGGAAGGATGAATAACAACTGGAAATAACTGGGAAGAAATGGACAGGACAGAGTCGAGTGGAGAGTGTTGATGGTTGGCTTATGCTCCTCAATGAGGGGTAGCAGAAGTAAGTAATATTTGAACGAAGAATATTCTTTTTGATGATTTCTCTCCAGGTTCTATAATTATATAGCCAAATTAATAATTCCAAAAGTGGCCAGGTTAAGGGCAAAGTGCATCATGCTATCAATTGAAAGTATGTTGGATATCAAACTATGAATGTAAATTACATGTTATCAGTTTTCCTTTATTAGGTTTATCTTAGACTATGTAGATGAATATTCTAAAAGCAGGTATTTTTTAGTCCAATATGAACTGAATTGGAAGCCACATTTTAAAAGGTTTCTAGTTTGCAATGAATGCATCTTTAAATTCGTTGATGTACGTGACCGAAGGTTTATATAAAAGTCACATACATAACATCATTTCATTCCTTGTAAATCTAGTCTGAACAGTTGACGAGAACATTGGTTCTGCACCTCAATGACTAAAATTTTAAAATCCCTTTTCCATTATATTGCCAGTGCACGTATAGCATTAAGCCTTGAAGCGTAAGCTTCAATTCCGAACAGGGAAATCGATGAGAAGTAATGCTGTCTACATAAAAACTTATTGATATACTCAGTAAATTAAATTAACAGCATAAGTAAATTTAATTAGTTTGTAGAAGGAAGCTGTGTTAGACCAACTGTTAGAACTATTTAGACTTCTTAAGAATATGAAGCTTCCAAACCCAGTATTTAATGAGAACATTATCAAAAAAGTGTTAGTTGGAACAAAACGATGGAATAGTTTAATCATTATTTAAAAACAGTTTATTTAGGCTCAAGGTATTGAAAGACTACATATGAGATTAACATCAGACCAAACAAGCACAGCTTTAATTTCGACTATCACATTAAAAAGTTTATTTAAATGTGTGACCATAGAACCTGTGAAAAGCTGATGAAAGAAAATTCTTTGTCTATATATGCGTCTTCGCTTTAATGGACTTTTCTAAACAAATACAGTGATGTACAGTTTCGACTAACTTAAAGCGATTAGGTAAAATAGTGTTCAGTGGGTGATTCCATACATCAATAATGATGAATGTTTGATACATAGAGCAGTCCGCCAGCTGTACATAATTTCATATAAATAGTGTAAATATATTACTTCAATTTAACCGTAACTTAAACTCATTTATTTGCAGCTAATCAATAATCATTCTGAATATTATAATTTCTTATATCTTAGCTTCTCCAGAAATCCCTCAAAGGCCTTCTCCATACAAGCATAAATGCATGGATAAATGAATCGTCTAATTTAAAAATGGTCTAAAAGAGATAAATTGTCAAACAAACAACCGAGTTGATTTTAGAGAAATTACTTCTTCGATGATTCAAGCATATCATTTTGTACACTTAATGGTAAATCAGATGCACCTTATTAAATCATCCATCATTAGTGTAAAGCGTGGATTCGAAAGCATATATATCTTTGAGAAGTTGATTTTTTATTGTGGAAATACTAGTTAACACTTAGTTTCAGCGAAGGAGACTAAGAAAATTTGGTTACTTGAAATGTGAGAGTACGAACCAACTTTGACGGTAATGACATTGTTCATAATCATCCTTGCCGGACAGCTATATTATTTCACTGAGTAGTGCAGTATGTTAAAACAAAATAAAAATGGTTGAAGAAGGTTTAGAGATCTTTTATAAATTTTCTGACAACTTGTTATATCGATAGAGTGAGTGCACTGTTTAATATATACGATGATGATCCCCGCCAATCGGAGAGGAGTGAATTATCGATCAGAACAATGATACATAAAAGCCGTATGAGCAGTTTTGAGTACTTATCAGTCCTGCTTTCTGTCTAGTCCAGCCCAGCTTATCCCCGTTGCCACTGATAAGTCTTGTTGATTGAACGCTCTATTCGGATCCTAAGCTAGTCTTGTAACCCCCAGGTTAAACATACACACGAGAGAAAAAGTGCAAAAGATGCAAGAAGCACTGTACTCCAAAGGTTTCTTTATGTACAAAAAATATAGGGTTTTTATAGTACTTTAGAAATCCTTGGGTTTGCCTGAAAATCCTGGAATTCTACTAAACATAGAAGCAGTGTAGTAATCAGCTAATCAGAAACTCTACATGTGACTTTTCACTTTTATGATGATTCTAGAAAACCATCTACTCAAACGCTGATTGGATAAAATTCTTTTTAATGTTTCCTTAGCGCATTATGTCTATCGCAAGAAATTTTCAGGATCGCCCCAACACAATTATTTAGCAAAAGGCTTAGTATTGAACATAGGTACTTTACATAATAGACATTAATTATTACTTTTCTTAGTATTAAAAAAATATCTATCAAATTCTATCTTATTTATGGTTTTTTTCCCTTTGTATTAATAATTTAGAAATATTACAATTCCTCTTTGCTTTTTTTGTATTGTCTCCACTATTATCTTCAGTAATTTACTTCATACATTATCAGTCCTCTTTAGGGTGGCATTCAGCCTTTCAATGGATTATAGTTGAAATGCAAATTTAACAATGTCTTACTTTATAACATTTTAGCAGTAATTATTGAACGATAAAACTTTTGAATGTTAATTAGGAAAATGATCAGCTAATTTTTAGTTTTCAGTGTAATTTCTATAAACATTACAGGGTAACTGCTTATTTCATCTTGATACTTTTTGCAGTAAACGACGGAACGCAGATTTATTTTAAAAATTTTATTTATTTTTATTATTACGATGATAATTGAGTCTATAAGATACATTCTCTAATTGAGTAATTAATTAACAACTGATTCTTTCGTCCATGATAATAAACGCTTTGTCTACATTTCGTTAAAAACATCAACATTAGAGTGAATGCTGAACAGTATTCCGGTTACATGACAAGATAAAATGTACAAGGAGTATTATAAAGACTGTTAAACTTTTATAATTTCCATTACGGACTGACTTCGGTAACCATATCTAACATAAGATAATTACTCACCAAAGACAACTGAAGGAGGTAGTGCCCTATCAAAAATTAAATGATGTTTGAAATGTACAACATCATTTCCAGATTCGATAATCTAACAGTTAGGAGTTTTCTGAGAGATCGAAAGGTACTGGGTTTGATCCATGGACGAAACGGACTTCTAGGGGTTCTTACTATGCACGGGTTGACTAACTAATATCAGTTTTTGATATATCATTAAACTAACAAACTCAACTTTGTTTCCATAGTAATCACTCTGTTTTCGTTTTCTTCTCTTCTATCTTCTTAACTGTCTGTCTCCAGGCATTTAACTTTGAATTAGTGATACATACTACTTGTTGTTCACAAAAGTGAGAGGACGAAAAGCGAATGTCCGACACTTTAAACGGGTTGGTGCATGTGGAGGACCCACCTAGGGGAGTTGGAAAACCCTGATTCCAAACCAATGGTGCACATGGGCTCCAATATCCTGAGGGAACAAATGGCGTACGAATCAATCGTTGATCACCGGCTACCATGGGACTGCATCTCCTCACGATGCTCCACTGCCTTGTGGATCAGACATTCAGGTCAAAGGCTCCGTGTGTGGTCCCATAAGAAAAACACCTGCTTCAGTCTGGGCACTTGAGCAGTATCACAGCCCTCACACAAATCGAATGAGATTTGTGAGGCGCATATATATCTGGTGCTCCCTTGTACCAATATTTATGTGTTTAAATAGATAAATAAACGTACTACTTATATCTGTCAACATCATCAACACACAGCACAGTAGATGGTGAGCAGTAATAATTGATAAAATAAATCTCAACATTATTCTTTTATTTTAAATCTTAATTTTGTTTACATGAGTTAAAAGAAGCATAAAGATACAAGGATCCAAGGATAAAAGAATGAATAATTTCAATCAAAATCTGTTTCTTCTTTATAATTTTTATAATTATATTATTAAATCTGAAGGAAATCTTTTCGATCAACCTAGTTTTTAAATGTTTAAAGAGATATCAATGGAATTTGTCAACTTACATAAATATCTACTTTTAGATACAATAATCGGATGACTATTTTTCAACTTATATAGTTGATATTAAGTTGTATTATTTCTTAGTTCTCTATGTCATTACTAACAGTATTGGTTAAATGGAAGAAACGTCTATTATTTTCTGTGTAGTAAACCAAATTTTGTCTTCTTGGAAAGCATCTCTTTCATTCATGCTTACATACTAACTGTATTCACAACAATTGGTTGAATACAATCAATTAAAAACCTGCTTTGTTGTATGTATTGAATAGTAATTATAATGAATATCATATTTGTTTGAAATGGATTTGAAGTTGTTAATTTAGTGAAACGTAGTTCTGATAACGTTTGTCTTCTTATTACACTATCGAAATTTAGTGTTTATAAATGTATTCAGCTTTTCATAGCACAACTGGTCAATCTAGTTTAAGACAAATAATATACTTTATAATACACTATGGTTTGCGGTTTTCTGTTGATTGTATTTAACGGTTCAACATCTAACAGTAAAAACGAAAACCGGCCACTATCTAAGATATATCACCTACCAATTCATTTGCTTGTTAGCAGAATGTACATAAACGAGAATATGGCTTGTCAAATAAGTGACTTTCATGTAAATCAACCAATTTTGAAGCCTAAAAGTCGTGTGATCAAAAACGTTTTACTCTCATTAGAAACAAATTGACAACACACACTTATTAAATATGATGTTAAATATTTATCCAATCAATGTTTTTTTATAAGACGGTTTATAAAATCAAATGTTTACAATAAATAAATGGTCTCAATGTATTCGCCACACATGTCATCTACAGAAACTGATTTGCTAGAAGAAAGTAGAAGAAATATTTGGGTGTGAGGTTGAATAAGAAATGAATATTTATTTTTGTTTTCGCGAATATCATTTACTTAATAATAACATATAATTCTAGATAACGTTTAAAAGATGTTCATTTAATAAGCAGACTGTAGTTTCCACCAAAAGCTTACCCCTGAAGTGAAACAACTGAAAACCAAGGTTAAATGTGAAAGTGTTTTTCTCAAGGTTGAAGCGGCCTAAAAACGTACACCAATAAAGTACGCTGATAGTTAATGGCCTATAGATTTCCCAGTTGTCAAGGTGACTGAATGGAACAAGTCCTTCTCCATTCGAAGTCATCAGTGTTCACCATTAAATGATCTCTAACTAGAACAAAATAGCTTTTTCAGTGATTTCTTATTCTTACTCATTCTGTAGGCTATTTCAGTATATTTTAGAAAAAATTTCAAAACTAAATGAGTTTCTTTACAAAACACACAAATAAAGTGTGTCTTCATTTAAGTTATGTTAAGTGATATGTTTTATGTTACAAGTAGTATTGAAAATACTGATAGTGGGAATTATAAATGGAAGTATGTACCATAAACTTATAACGTGACCCTTTGAATCCTGCTAACACTGGAGCTTTAGGCGTTTTTTGGTAGAGTTTTTTTCTCTGAGTTGGAAATTAGGAAAATACTCTAAAGAACATTTTACGATATTTTGTGTGATTAACAAGGCATTTTCTCATATTATATGAAAACAGTGTGTTATCATGGAGATAAATTACCTTCAATACTTCAACATAAACAGAAAGTGTTTTCAAGGTTTCCACTTCAATAAGTAGATGTATGAAAAACTTACTTAAATTTTTGTTCTAAATAAACAGATGGTCAACTATCCATTTTTAGATCACAAGTGGTTGTTGTGGATATTTCAGTATTTTCATGGTTGAAATCATGAGTCAGTTGAAGCTAGACCATCATGGAAAACCTGGAAGCTCTGGATGGCCGTTTCCTCCTATTGTGTGACTCATCAGCAGTGTGCGTCCACGATTCATTTTTACACCGTATTTAATCAATATTTAACTAAATTCTCTTCCATTAGTCTATATATATTTGTAATTGCTAAAATGATGAACCACTCGAATCCTTTCACTATTTTACCATTGTGTTTTGAAGGCTCATCAAACATTCCCATTATTCTACCCGATTTATTGATGTTCGCAAATGAAAACGTCAAGTCAATAGTTGAACCACAGTTGGCAAAACATTTTTTCTTGATTATTAACAACTGATTGATAGATAAAAATAGGTGCATGATGATTTGATGAAGTTCTTATATTTAACCTACTGACCTAATGGTAGGTGCAATCTATTTAAAATGTTCACTGTTTTCGGCTACATAAAGCGATCCATACAATGATTTATCCTGTATGTTGTTTAAAAAGAATCACCAAAAAATAATTTCTTACCATACAAGTATCCAATGCTTGAGTTCTATTGAATACTATAAGATAGGAATCAACTATTTGTGAAGCCACATCATAACACTAAGAATAGAAAAAAAGAAGGAAACAGTATCATATATAATTATAAAAACTTTATATTGATGTCTATATGTAATTTTAAATTAATATTTCCTTAGATATAAGTAAAATCTATCTTGAATAGGTGTTTTTTAGCCTACAGATCTGTTATTATTATTACTATTATTAGCTTTATTCAATATTATATAGTTGGTACAATATAGAATTCTCAGCACAAAGTACTTCAACAAGTTTCCGTTTCTTACTTCTTCGTCCTTCCTGACGATAAATATTGAGTGATCGCCAGCTAGAAGTTAGCAGCCCAGTCAATCGACATCTGAATAATGTACATTCTTCTCGCTGCATATTGTCATCAACCGCTATATCTCAGATTAGGCTTTCTGTAACCTTTACAGTGAAAAGTCTTACACTTTTCAGAAACGCACCTGAATAGGTTGTGCGGTTAATAGGCATAATGATGTATTAAAACAAACGAAATTAGATAACTTTTTGAAATATCTAGATGACAGGAACTAGTAGCCCAGATGCTTAAACAGGCCACTATTAATGTAAAGATTAATAGTAATAAAGGATAAAGTTTTGTTCTTTTTGATGTAGAGTATATGCGTTTAATAAATGTTTAGTCATGAAAGCTTTAACTCACTGGATTTACATCATGTCAAACGAAACTCTAAGATTATTGAATAGAAATGTTTCTCAATTTCTACTGAAAAATGATATTACTCATAGATAATGAATGATTAAAATGAACCAGCAGATTACATTTAATCTATATGTAATGACGAATAAAGGTAGGAAGTAAGGGAAACCGCGGTTTTGAAGAAAAATTCATTAAGAAATTTTCATCAAGATTATCTACTATTATGATTTCTTTAGGCTGGGAGATGATCACTAAAAGAGTACTAGTTTAGTTAACCTTTAGGATAAACTTTATTGATGTTAAACATTAAATTATCTAGATCTATGACTTATTTACCAGTGCTTACGAACATCCACTATCAATTTAAGTGTAATTACGTGGCTGAAAAGTATATTACTTGCATAATATATCCAATTTATTAACTAATAATAATTAGAGAGAGAGTTTTGTTGCTAAATTCACCAAATTTCTCCACCAACCCGGTCAAAGCGCCGGACATTCGCTTTTCGTCCTCTCAATTTCATAAAAAAGCGGTAATGCCACGAGAAGGTTGTGAGCAGAACTTCCCTGGCAGAGGATGTATATGCGTGACCGTGTGAGAACATTTCGAGAGAGAGAGTGTGTGGGCCCTCTCCGCTCTTGGCTGTACATTTGGGAGCAAATCTTTCGCTTTTAATAATAGTGTATTGATAGTTTAATTACCTGTTTATATATATATATATATATATATATATATATATATCGTTAGGTAAATATTACATTTGAATATCTGCATTTTCACGTTCAAGAAATTTACTAATTTTTTCAACGCTTTGTTCACAGAAATGTCAGAAACAGTAGTCGTGCCATTGGAACCTTTCAGTGTTTAATAATTAATAAAAATGGTAAACATTTTTCTTACAAACAGTAAAACATACAACTCCAGGGGACTTATTTTACGATTTTGTCCTATTCAATTATTATATCCACTTTTATTCTGCTCTAGGTTATCTAAATTAAAAAGAAGTATAAATCATTTATGATACTGATAAACGATCGTAGTTTGATCCAATTAAACGTTAGATTATTAGTTGTTAGTTAAAATAACTAAGTGTATTCTATTGGGCTTGATATAAAAGGATAGTTGGATCATCAACTTTTAGGTGTAGGTGCTTGATAACATGATAAAATAGTTTTTAAAAAATAGTTAGATTTTTATGGAAATAAAATTTTAGACTCTTATAATAATAAAATATTATATTTATATCATGAATGGATCAATGTTAGGACGACAGTGAAAACGTGGAGGCAATAGACATCCGTCTCGTTTTTCTATTTGACTCCACATTAGTGTGCGTCCACGACCTCACACGTCAGGCAGTTACTCACTGGTAACAATGGTGAACGGTTTCGGTTGAAGTTAGACACTAACTCCGTTGGGTCTTTGCTCAGTGGTCCAGAGGTTAGGCGTTTGTGCACGGGCCGAATGCACCGGGTTTGAGTCTCTAGTGCGGGGTCGTGGATGCACACTGGTGAGGACTCCCATATAAGAGAGAGATGGCTATCCACTTTTTCAATAGTGGTCTAACATTGATCATGATATAAATCTAAAGTCAACGATCTCCATAACCACATGCTGTCATGTATTATAAATGTCTAACCACGCAGCAAATTAAAAACCAAAAGATTCTTAAGCTGGACATGCTCTTTACCCAAGTGATGTACCATGTACCGGATAACCAATATATTTTCGAACGTCAAAAGTAATATAGTATAAATTTCTTGAGAGTTTTATATCAAACGGCAGATTTTACATATAGTATTGATTTTAATGTCTAATTACGATATAAGCATTTCAATACGATTTAGCAATATTGTGAGTTTATCTGTTTAGACAATTTAAATTACGAAGAGATTTAACTTATTATTGTTCTTAGTCAAAAATTACTGTGAAATGTAAACATATTTTATCTTACAATAGTTCTTCATCTACCAGCCTGTTTTCATATCTGTAGAACGTTCGCAGTCATTGATATTTTTTTATTGAACACTATAACGTAATAAATAATATTGCGGTATGTGCTACTAATGTCAACAGATATAAGTAGTGTGGTGTGGGTTATTTACATCCACATAAGCAGTATATTACGATGGTCGGGCATTGAATATATTTCAGTAGAAGATTGATAAGGAGAGAACGGGAATGGAAAGTATATAGTGAGAAAATGCATGTACAATAATAATCGGAGGCAATGGACGGATATTTGAGGGAGATTGAGACAATTGATTGTTGTTTTACAAACTAACTGATTATTATATGGTTTTCATATTTTACTGAGATATTCTGTAATTTTATGCTTAAATACATTCAATTGTCCCCACCCGTGTTCTTGTTCACTACAGTAATATGTATCATCAATCGAAAGTGAAATACCTGGCAGCGGAAGGTTATGAAGTTTGGTGAAAAGGTAATGAGAACACGGAATGATTGGTATGGAAGCGAAAAAACGATGAAGTCTGAGACAACTGATTGACATTTTTCAAATGAAGTATTTACCGCATAGGTCTCCAATTTTACTAAACTGTTCTAACCAATTTATGTTCAAGTACATTTGGTTGTCCCTGCCGATGTTCTCGTTCACTACAGTCACAATGGTCATTATTTTGTGATATATATATGCATATAATATAACAAAAATATGAATAAAAATCTTACCTCCAATGTATATTCTTCAATGACAGAACACATTCCAGAAATAATGGAATGAATCATTTCAATTGTTGAAAGTTTCATCATAATTTTTCTAGCTGTATTAACTATCATCTTACAAAAGGAGCATTTTATTGTAGATGGAATTGTATAATTGGAACTTGATATATCTTCATTACATCGCTTATTCATTAACTACACATATATAATAAGTTAAATAAATTACCTGAGTTTACCTGAGTCCCATTTGTTCTTCTGTTGATCCAAACTAATGGAATGAAATTATATTAAGGAAATAAATAAAACAATTACTTGTATATAATAATATAATGAGAAAATAGTTATTCATTTGTATCAGGGTAATATAATGTTATTATTGTTATTACCATTTAAATTGTAAAGTTTCAAATAAGTTAGAAAAGTTCCAAAGTTCAATTTTATTTATTGAAAAGCAATTGATTATACAATTAAAATAACCTATAGTGTCAGTCTCTTGTTGACATATATGCATCCTGTTCAGATTGCCATGATATTACCTTAAGTCATTAGCTTTGTAAACAAAGATAGATTGTGGCTAACAGTGGAATACAGGACTCGAGGTTCCAACCTATATGGAACTTGTCGGCTGGATATATCTGTAACCCAGAGTTGATGTTCACTCTGGGACTCGAATCCAGTATCGTTCACTTCAAAATGAAACATGTTTTATATTATTCATGTAAGGAAGTAACTCATTACTAAGTAATGAAAAAAAGAGAATTCAGCGAAAAAATTTGTCTTTTCGACGAAATCATCTACTTAGGCCATACATTCGTATATAAATAGTCAGAAATAATCCAATTGACAGATGTGAAGGAAAGCGACAAACACAAAGGTCATAATAATAGACTGAATATTAATCAAGAAAACTTGTATAAGGTAATAATAATAAATGATTAGAGTTAAAAATGCAAAATGTACATAACCTCATTTGTTATTTATTCTTAAACGAATTTATAATGCAATCTTTCTTAGCCTCCTATTGACATATATTTTCTATATAACCATTGATTACGTAATAATGAGTTACTTCTCCACATGAATAATATAAAACATGTTTCATTTTAAAGTAAACGATACTGGGTTCGAGTCCCAGTGTGAACATCAACTCAGGGCTGCAAACACATCCAGCTGACACGTTCCAGATGGGATGGAACGTGAATCCTGTATTCCACTGTTAGCCACAACCTATGTTTATAAAGCTTATGACTTAGGGCAATATTGAGGTAATCTGATCAGGATGCACATATGCCAAAAAGAGACTGATCAATTGCAGTCCTAAATAACAATGGGAAGATACAAGCAAACAACAAGTGAAATAAAAAAACAGTTTCAATAAGCAACCATTAACAAAAAACTTAAATTAAATCAAAAGCATTCACGCTTTAATTCTACTAATCCAGTAACCTATAATTCAAATTCAAAAAACCTTTATAACAAAATGAATGAAATTGATTTAAATTAATGTTGAAGCATCGGTCATATCAATTCATTCAAAAATCTCTCTTCATCACATTGTAAAAATTTTAAGGGTACAATTTATGTATATTCGGTGATATTCTATCCCCAATAATTGTTTCCTAGTTTAAATTCATTTTATATTGCTTGTCTGAATCTTACCATTGATAATTAGAACTGCATTTTGTTCATCCAGTACTGACTACCTCGATATTGCTTTAATTTATAAGCATTCTCAGCATAGGTGAATAGTGGTTAGCAGAATAATCCACAAGCTAGTTGAAAGGATAACTTGATGGCTTTTGAAACTAATGATACTGGGTTGGAGTTTTGGGGTGAACATCATCTATGCGATGCAGATACATACAGCTGAATAGTCCTAAGTAGAACGAAACGCGCCTCCTGGATTTCATGGCTAGTCATCATCTATCTTTGCTTATAACGTTTTCTAGTTTGCTTAAAGTCATTGTATTAATAATTATATACAGATTAGTTAAAGTATTTTAGAAATAGTCTTTTGTTAGGTTGAATGGTAAATACATTAATTCAATGAACTAAACTCCAGTGTTGAATAGATTTATCACTATTGTACATATTTCAATAAGTGACACATGCGGAAAGATTCACAAGTCTCTTAACAATCTAGCTTGAATAAAACGTCAACTTTCCATGCTGCAGTACAAAGATTCTGTTATTGATTTTATGCATTATAATGTTATACGGATAATAATAATCTATCATATTAGACTTGCATGTGTTCTTTTCAAAGGCAGATTTACTGTATTTTAAGTTTTTATTGAAATTTCATGTCTTTAGTCCGCAGAAGAAAATGAATACTGCATACATATGAATTTTATTACTAAAAATGTATTCTAGGGGTATGAAAAATTCATTTGTAACTTTTCATATTGTAACACTTGTTGATATAATTTAGAAATTATTATGTGATAAAGATTAAATCAAGACTAAAAACATGACTTGCCAGGGAATCTTTGGCGGCATAATACCTAGATTTATGCCATCATGTGAGTCTCTCTCTATTGTATCATACCATAATACTTCATGTATAATTGACAAATAATAAGAATAGTACTTTCATTTTCAAAAAGCGTTGAAGAGTGTAGTGTTTAGTAAAATTCCAACTTACATAATACAAGTAGGAATTTAGTGATGAGTTTGAAATTCTAACTTTTATTTTAAAGGAAATGTGTTGAAATTTGATAATCCTAGGTGAATTGTAGTTGAAGGAAATGAGTTGAAATTTGATAATCCTAGGTGAATTGTAGTTGTAAAGTGTATTTCTATGTAAAATAGTTCAGATTCAAATAATTTGTGTTTATCCTTTACATAATAATTAGTTATCAATGATCGGATTTTAAAAAAGAGAATATCATTGGGAATGAATTATGGTTGATTTTGCATTCAAAACAATGTTAAATTTTGGTGTGGATTACTTATAGCCAAATAAGTAGTATATAATGATGGTCAGGCGTTGAATTTATTTCAGTCAAAGATAGATAAGGAAAAAAATGGGAAAGGAACGCGATTGGTGCGAAAATGCATGAACAAAGAAATTAGAGACAATGGACTGATATTTGCAAAAGGAACAGTCAACATTGAGACAATTGATTATTAGTTTGCATATTAACTGTTTAATGTATGATTGTCAGATTATAGTGAGACATTCTGTAATTTTATGCTCAGATACAATCGATTGTCCCCACTCGTGTTCTGTTCACTGAGACATGAATTCTATCGGGTTCAAATTTGAACATAATATCATGTACTAAAAATATTGTATACTGAATCAATGTATTTTTGATAACTTTATGACTTTGAACAGCAATCATTTCGTTATCATGAAATGCAAAAACTTTTTTTTTAAATTACATAAATTTAAAATACTAGTGAATAAACTATTTATTTATTTACTTAAATCTTTATTTTTATTTGGTTGACATCATGAGTCAATTGAAGCTAAACCACCATGGAAAACCTGGAAGCACTGGACGGCCGTTTCCTCCTATTGTGGGACTCCTCAGCAGTGCAAAACCACGATCCCGTATCACGAGATTTGGAACCAGGACCTACCAGTTTCGCGCTGGAGCATTTAACCTCTAGACCAATGAGTCTGCTTCCAACGGTGTTAATGTCTAACTTCAACCAATCCACGAAATTGAGCAACCATTCATCAATGTCTTCACTGAGTTGATATCTCTCAACAGATTGAACTCCAGTGGTTACTGCTTATCACTAGAACTCCAGGAAATACCTCATGAAGTCAGTCACTAGTGAGCATATGATCATTATCAGAAAGAGATTTTTCGGAGATTTCAGTAATTTTTTTATAGTTGAGATCATGAGTCCCTTAATAGGACGAAACGGATGTCCAGTGCTTCCAAGTTTTCCATGGTGGTCTAGCTTCAACTGACTCATGATCGCAACTATATAAAAAGTACTAAAATTTTCACAAAACCTCCTTCTGTTAAATTTTTAAGTTTATCATTGTAGTTAGAGTAAATAAAAACATCCTTTAAAAGTTCGTTATTCATAAAGTACAAAATATAGAATTATATTGCATAAGATAATTTCAAATGGAAGTAAGATATACTTAACAAAATAACACAATAAATAATACAATTATATCTAAAAAGGGTACAAAATGAAAATAAAAATAATAACCGAAACTCATATGCTTCATGCTATTTTATGAAATAAGGAACAAAGTTCTAGTTTTTTTAATTAGAGTTTTTCTTAGAATAAACGGTTAGTATTTATCGGATAACACGTATTCTGAACATTGAAATAGTAATAATGATTATAATAATAGTGATAATGATAATACTAATATAAATACTACTACTACCACTAATAATAATAATACTAATAATAATAATAATAATAATAATATCACTACTACTACTGCCACTACTACTACTACTAATAATAATAATAGTAATGGTAAACTATGAACTTGGCAAACTATAAACGAAACACTTGAATTATGTATCGTATGAAATCTAAAAAACAAAACAAAAATCAAGAATATATTTATTATTTTAATCAGAACAATCAAGAATTTTCATTATGTTACATATTCATTGTATTGGTTTAACTTTATTAACTGGTAATATGGTTTATCATGTTTTTAATGACTTCATTTATTATTGTTCGTAGTGATTTTATGGCAAAGTAATGGGATTCATGTAAGTATAAATGTTGTAATGAATTATAATAAATTCTTTACCTGTGTATTTATAAAACATGTAAATTAATAATAAATTCAATTAGTATTGTTTGTTTGAAACTTCCCATTGATGTTTAGGACTACAATTAATCAGTCGCTTATTGGCTTATGTGCATACTGTGTATATTGCTTCGATATAGCCTTAATTCAAAAGTATTATAAGCTGAGATGAATAGTGATTAGCTGTGTGGATAACGTGATTGCGCTTGAAGAGAATGGAACTGGGTTCGAGTCCCAAGGTGAATATAAACTCTGAGATTCAGGTACATCCAGTTGACGAGTCCAAAATAGGACGAAACGCGCCTCAAACTGGATTCCATGACTGGTCACTATACATCTTTGCTTGTAAATTAATAATGTTCAAATAAGAGCATTTTAAAAGATTATGGCAGTGATCTATTTATCTGTATCGTAATTTATGAGTAAATCGTTGTTATCTCATGAAAAAGCCTTTAATTTTCTATTCAAATATTGACTACGTTTTTGGAAGTGAAAATTAGTTTTACTACTTAAATAACTTGGTAAAAGTATCTATTCTATAATATATGCAATTTGAATAAAGGTATGAAAGATTAAGATGTATTATATAACACTCTGAGAGACTATGCAAACATATGTTACTTCATTATTTAAACATGGTTTTCAAAACAATTAATAATGTAAGCAAATATGGATAGTGGCTAGCATTGGAATCCACGATGCACATTTTGTCTGATTCGAGAGTCGTCATATGGATGTACCAGCATCTCAGAGTTGATGTTCATTCTGGGACTTGAACCCAGTAAAGTTCGCTTCAAACGTCATCACGTTATCCACTAAGCTACTGAGCTCTGATAGTCACCTGTTTGTGCAACGGAGTGAAGTTTGAATTCACATGATATTGTTGAATGAATGTCCCCGATTGTTGTTCAGGACTGTGATTGATCAGTCTCTTATGCGCACCGCTATTCACCGTCCATATTTGCCTATAATGCTTGTGAATTAAAATAATACAGAGGCAATATGCATAGTATGCACATATGTCAATAAAAGACTGACCAATTGCAGTCCCAAACATCAATGGGAAGATTTAAGTAAACAACAAGTGAATCCAATGTATAACGTACATGCATACATTTTGAAATACGATGATTATTGTTCAGCTTATATAAAATAAACAAATACATATCTCACTTTAAAAAAAACTCAATAACTGGATTTCTGTTATTTTGGTGTGTGAAAAAAATGACATCCTGCTTTATCGCAGTCTCAGTATACATAGATATTTAATAAGCCATTTTGGAACTTGTAGTGCGATGCTTCGCTAATTTTTCACCTCGATAACCGTTATAATAAAAATCTCAACGGTGCATGAAATCAGAAGGCAAAGAGAAGCTGCAACCACAGTTTCTTATAAAATGATGCAAGCCACAAAGCTGCAATCACATGATTAAGTATCAGCGAACAAGCGAAAATAACGCCCAGTGGAGATGGCGGATAAGCCAACTCACTTTAATCAAGGGTTAATATTTATAGTAAAATTGTATAGGTGCACAACAAGACAAAACAAAAGGTAGTAATAGGATATATATATATATATATATATTTATATAGAAAGAAGGAAAATATTACATCACAAAACGGTTCAAGACACCAATTATCAAATGATTTTACTTAACAATCAACGGGTTAGATAAGAATAGAAGAATGAGAATGATGTACGGATCAAAATTATGAAAGGCAATTGTCTGCTTGATAAATATGAAGAAATTGAGGTATTTATGTTCATGAGTCGATCTAAGCTAGACCTACATTGAAAACCTGCTTTCATGGATTGAACTATTAAAATTACTACAATCTTCACAAATCTCCATTCAGATATGAAGAAAAACATAAAAAGGTAAAGGTCATATTAATAACTGGATAACAATCATGGAAAATTGTTCAAAGGATAATAATAACTTATAATCGATTAAAATCATAAAATAATCACAACAAAACATACCACGGAAAGGAATTAGGATCAAAGATAGATGACAGGTCATACATATCGTATTTGCACTCAGAGTTAAGGCTTGAATTGACATTCCCAACTCCTCAGCAATGTATAAATTGTTGACTTATTCTCCTTTTGATTCACTTCTTTCGGTCGTTTAGATTTTTATTTTCCTTCATATTTATCAGGCAAACAATTATCTTTCATAATTTTGACTCTTACATTATTTTCATCCTCTCATTCTTATCTAACCCTCTGATTATCACGTGAATTCATTTGATAATTGGAGTCTTGAATCACTTGATGATCTAATCTTTTCTATCCTTCTATAGACATATATATATATATACCATACAACAATAAATACGAATGTAAATGATTTCGTTCAATAGAAAACTTTCTTGGCATATACGTTTCTTTATTTATTTTCCAAGTATAAATTTTATTTAAATCACATTGTACTTTAGTTGAGATCCCAAGTGATTTCATAGGTCACCTAGCTAATTATGATTTTACACAGCAGCAAAAACATATAAGGAAATTGGAAGCTCACAAATACATACAATCAAGTGATATTTTGTATAAATGTTTTCGAGTATCATAAAATTACGATCCCCTTAAAACTGTACCTTGTCGTTTATTTTATCACTCAACATTCAACGATATTTCAATTCCTGTTATATATTTCTAATCAAGGCCAAACCATCTTTGGATATAGATGCTAACGACATACGTAAGTTAAAATTTTGATATTTGTGATTAAACAATATGTATTATCACTAGAATGTGATATATGTATGGGTGCAGTATCTCTTGGAAAGCTATTTCTTGTGTCACCAATCATGGATAGTATAAAGAAAATGCTTGTAGAAAAACTATGCACATTACCCGGGATTATGACAAGAAGAGTGAGTTAAAATTAGTTTAATTGTAAACATAACCAGTCATATATAATTTCGGGTGAATTAAAGAAAACGGTTAGAGATATTTGGTTTACTTATTAGTATGTCAATAATTACCATAGGAGCTTAAAGAGCAAAAACGTCAGTAATTCTAATCTAACAGAACCAGTTGTTGTGTTGCACATAAGGTGATGATGATCATAATAATAACTGATATCCTAGAAAGGCAACTGAAATTCATTCCCGAGATATCATTAAACTTTTATCATTCAATCCCTTAGTAATGATTAGTTGTCATATGTTAACATCTACCATAATTAGTTTGGAATTGTTTCACATATCTTCATTGACTAACTAGCTATCACAGGAATCAACTGCCGTTAACTGTATTAAAACATGCCAAAGAATTTACAATGGTTGATCAATAACGTTCAGTATAATTTTGATGATTTCATCTTACTACTTAATAAGTCACTTTTTTGTTTGCATTGAATATTTGTTATCAGAATTCAGTATCAAAGAAGTAAATACTAACCATTGTGTAAAACTTGATAATTTTATCTATATACCGGGGGCATGTACCTCATTTTTAATCACCCTTGTAGAGTTTTGTTTGGTAATGCCAATATATATTTGAAGTTTCGTTTAGACGAAGAAATTTGCAAAAACATTAGGAATCCATTAGGTATATTGCTGAACAACATGAAGTTAGTTTTTTTTTTCATAGTTGAGTTAATGGGAGCTAGACCACCATGGAAAACCTGGAAGCACTGGACGGCCGTTTCGTTGTATTAAGGGACTTCCAGCAGTGCGCATCCACGATCCCGCACTCGCGAGGTTCGAACCCAGGACCTATCAGTCTCGCACCAGAACACTTAAGCACTTAATTTAGTTATCAAATATATTCAACGATTGAAAAGAAATTGACAGTTAAAACTTGATACATATTTATATGTGGTTTGATTGTAATACAAATAGGAGAAGGAAATACTTGATATCTTGTTATATTTTATAAAATAAATCTGTTTATATAAGTAAACAATAACAATACGAAATATAAGCCTGATCCCTTTCCAGAACAGTAACGTTTCATGCAACTAGTTCTACGAGAAATATATAATATTAGAAGAAAATGTCAACTGTTTTCATAGTATTTACCATCTCATATTCAGTAATATATTCATTATTTGAACATGTTTTAACAATTTCCCCTGTATTCTGATGTATCTAGTGTATGAATTGGGGATATCATCAAATAGATGAAGTAGTCGTTCATTTTTTAAAACAAAAATCATCGAAACCATGTAAGGTAAGTTCTATTAATTGACGTAATCTCCTACACGAATCTATAGAAAAGTATGAATATCTTATTAATGCAGACCACAAATTTGTACAGAATAATTCAGATATGTCGGTTAAAGAACCGCCGAAAGCCTCTTAGCTTTATCAGAGTGTTTTGTCCTCGTACACTATATATATATATATAGTAAAATAATTGTCCTTTGGTAGAGTATTGGTGTATAAATAGAATTTTATTTCGTTTTACCAGTATCGTCCACTGAATATATTCACAGAATACTGAAAACATAACTTTATTTCGACAGTGTAATAAGAAGACGAAGATTATCAGAACTATGTGATATAATAGCGCAATACATTTCGAACAATCTGATCACATCTAATATACTTGTTAAGAACATTTATATATCAAAATAAAAGGTCAACTAGACTGTAAATGGGATTAAGGATAGACAAGGATAATAATAATAAGAGTAATGTGAAAACAATCTGACACCTAATCACTCTGGATAATAAGCTAATACTACCAGGTTAAGTTTAAGGAGAGACCAAACTGTTTATTTACTATATTTACTGAATTAGTTTTTAAGAAAACATTTTTTTGATATCGAAAGCTGTGAGATTATAAGCTAAAGATTGAGGGCACTTAAACGATTGTGGAGATTGTTGAGTTTAGATCGAAATAACAAATGACTCACTGTTAGATCACCATTAAAACCTAGAAACATTGAATGGCCATTTCATCCTAGTAGGTTGAGCGTTTGCTTTCAAGACTGAAGGTCCTGTGTTCCAGTCCAGCATGTGGGATCGTCAAGGAGGATTGTTGAGGAGTCTCATACTAAGAAGAAAGGATCGTCCAGTGTTTACAGGTTTTCAACTGTGGTCTAACACTGATGCATTCATTAGACCAAATATAATTTGAAGTTATATGAATTTTCATGTTATTTTTATTTTCAACTACAGTATTTTTTACTGTGTTCAACGAATACTTCTCAAAGAATAACGGGTTAAGTACATGTAAGTAGATAATTAGTAATATTTTCTTGGTGAAAAAAATTTTAAACCGTTTATATAAACTTATTCCTAAAAGACGTACCCTTTATACACATAGAGTTATTATTATTATAAGTAGTATGTATCATTCAATGAAAGTGAAATGCCTGGCAGCAGAAAGTTAAGAAGATCGAAGAAAAGAGAATGAGAACAGAGAATCATTGGTGTGGTGTAATACTTGTGACCTGTGGCAGTACTAAGGCCATTCGATCAGGCTGCACATATACCAAAAAGAGATTGATCAATTGCAGTCCTAAACAATAATGGGAAGATATAAGTAAACAAATCAATTGAGTTCAAACTTTGCCCTATTTGCACAAGCAAGTGGCTACCAGGACTCAGTAGCTACATGGATAACGTGATGGTGTTTGAAGAGAACTTTACAGAATTCGAGTCCTAGAGTGAACATGAATTTTGAGATGCAGATACATCCAACTGATGATTCTCGAATAGGACAAAATACACATCGTGGATTCCACTCCTAGCCACTATCCATGAATATTATAGGTAAATTTTACTAGGCCAGTTAAAAACTCTTCATTCTATTTTACGAATTAATGATATATTTTTCATAATAGAATTATTTTTCAGTTTCATACAGTTTTACTCTTTCCTATTTCCTTTTCTCCTAAATATTCTTTTTCAGAGGAACAAATTCCAATCCAATCATTTTCAGTAAATACCTTGATATTAAGAAGAAAACTTTTTATTACAAAATTAGTTTATTAACTGTTATGCGTTAATACAAATATGTGGAATTTTTCATCGAATATTAATGTAGATGATTAAACGTCCATATAGCACAAAAACAAGCCCATTTATTTGTCAATATGGGGATTTGTGTAGATTGTAGTGTTTTCACAATTGAATTCATGAGTCAATCTAAGGTAGGCGAACATTCAAAACCTGTAATCACTGGACGGTCATTTCGTCCTAGTATGGGACTGCTCAGCAGTGTGTATTCATGACCCCATACGCTGAACTCAAACCCAAGACCTTCAGTCACACACACGAGCACTTAACCTCTAGACCACTGAACCGACTTTTAACTGTGTTAATGTCTAACTTCAATTGATTCATGATCTTGCGCAGCTCTTCATTCATTGTCTGAAGTGGATAATCGTCTCACACTCAACACGGATTGCACTCCAGTGGTCACAGCTTTTCATTAAAACTCCAATAAATCCATTCTGAAGCTAGTAATTAGTGAGCACATGATTATTATCAGTATGAGGATTGGTGGAGATTGTGGAATTTTGTTTATTTGGATTCACGAGTTCTTCTGAGAAGGCGTGACCACTGGAGTCCAATCCGTATCTGGTGCGAGACAGTTATCTACTTCAGAGAAAAGATAAATGGCTGTGCAAGTTCATGGATAGGCTGAAATTAGATATTAACACCGTTGAATTCTGGCTCAGTAGTCTAGAGGTTTAGGTATTGTGTTCGAGTCCGTGTGTTGACTTGTGGATGAGAACTACCGAGGAGTCCCGCGCTTGGAAAAAACTGCAGTTTAGTGGTTCCAGATTTTCAACTGTCGTCTAGCCTAGAACTATTTATTTGTGTTTGAGCGCTTGAAATGAGGCAACTGGATGTAATAAGAAGTTCTTGTCTGTCAAATATTCGGTAGATTGAGAACAATAGTTGTGACAGGTCTTGTGTTAACAATTAATGATCATGGATAATTGGATTTATCCACTGTTGATTTTGTTGTTACATTAAGCTATTTAAGACTATTTCACCACTACATTTTCTGTACATTGAGTAGTGGTCAACGTCTTGTGTAGCAGGTTCTTTAATACGTTTCAGTTTGAGGTCGTGGAGATTGCTGAATTTCATTGAACTTTTGAACCGAGCTCAGTTAGGTCACCGTTAAAAATCTGAAATCGCTGGTTGTTGAATTATGAATAACAACATATCTCATTCAACTTCACGTTCATTTCAGTTTAACGTGAAGTAATTGTTCATACGATACACTTCAGTGATTGGCCGATTGGCAAGAAACTTAAATCTGGTTATACACCCAACTATCTTCAATCACATGATGGAGATATCGTTAGCTATTACATTAGCATTGCCAGTTATATGAAACTAAGTTAATTCAAAGTTGAGCGCAGAATATAACCATTATATCCAGTGAAAAGAAAGCTTGAATTATTTGTGCAGAAACTCCTAATGACCAAATACCACATAAAATATTCAAAACTAACAATCAATATCTTTTCTGATTATACAGTGTAATCAGGGAAATCAAAATAAACACTAAGAGAGAAAAATTCCAAACCAGTTACTCTGTCAAAATCGTGATCAAATAGAAAATGATTCCTTCAAATGAGAAAATATGGCCCGTTGAAAAATATACAACCACATGTTCAAACAGAAAAATACACGTGAATGTTAAGCTGTAAGAACAGGGAAACAAACTGGATAATCTATTAGTTACATTAAAAAAGAGCCATTACGCATTGGAAAACATCAACCGTAAAAATGGTATAACCTCCTTTGAGTGACAGCTGTACTAATAAATCAAGTATGGATTAAGTTGAATGAATTTATTTCATAATCTAGTTTATTGAAACACACATTAAGAGGAGAATAGGAAAGACGAAGCAAAATGGAGAATCCAAGTATCGTAACTCATTCATGCGTTCAATTTGGGAGTGAAGTCATGGGCGATGAAAAACAAAATATAGTATTTAAAATAGTTAAGACATATGACACTATGTGCCCAGAAACGATAACCAAGGTTATCGATATTAATAATTGTACCGAGAAGACTACGTAACCAGAAGAATAAATATAAACATTAAAAAAAATAAAAACCATATTATCGTACTGGATATCAATGAGATTATCTAACATGAAATTATTGGATCACAATTACACTAATCATAACAAAGAGAGGCTTATCACTATTCTTTTTAAAGCACATAGTTTGGACGATCAGTGTTCAACCTTAAGCATTCTGTAAAGTGGATTACTAGTAACTCTGTTAGTCTTTGATTATTTTGAATGATATAAGGATATCCATATTTACAATAAATATCTTTAAACGGCCTGATAAATGCAATTGTAAAAGCATTACTCCCTCTCAAATATATATTCCTAGGAATTTGTTTGAAGACGCTGTTAGCAAATCGAACTTTGCTTATAATCAGCTTACCTCTTTCAGTTGATCAGGTAACCAAATGTAAGAAATCGAAATTTAGTAATTTGAAATGAATCAAGTTTTCCATAAAGCTTTATCTATACAGATTTAATCTTACAGCAGTTCATAGCCGTGGTGATGTAGTTTTTAGAAGAGATATTTATTATTTTGGTTAATACAAGAATTACAACCTTTGAATCACAAGTTTACTGATCACTTGAATAGTTTCCAGTTTTTCTGCTAACAGCATGTGAAATGTATCAGTCAGGTGAAATATTCACATTTCATATAATTTGCTACATTAGTTAAGTTAGAAACAGAATTTTTTAAGCTTTTCGTGGCCCTATATCTGACTCCAGTTAGATCGCATATTGATTGTTATCGAAATATAAATACTTCTAACCATCGTATATCCTTACCGCTAAAGAATAACGAAATTAAATAAACCAAATATGGGAATGAATTTTGCATTCCAACATTTTATACATTCATTGATCCGAAAAAACAATCAGAAAACCGAAGCGAAACGAAATAATGTGCAGTGGAGAAATCGAGTTAGTCAACTCTGTTTCATCAAGTGCAACTCAATATTTATATTTAGACAAAATTAAATCGCAGACATATAATGAATAGGATAGACAATCAACACACGAACGATTATATAAAAACAGTCAGAATTAATAAGCGAATAATTGAAAAGGTTAAAATGTGGCTTAAGAAGAATGAATAAATTGATCAGGTCATAAACTAGAATAGCCTATATAGTACCAACCACTACTAATAAACCTGGTAATATATTACATGTGTTTAATAGATAGATTATTCAAATATACTCATTATGAGAAGTAAATATTATCTGTAATAAGATCACATTAAGGAGGCAATGATTTTATTTTAATGTATGGTCAATGTAAATGACCAGTTACATTAACTTCAGTTTGATAGTAATTTATTAAGATGATAACTAGAACATTATAAAACTTTACATTGAATTTAATTTAGACTACTTAAACCTTTGATATCAGAATTGTATTCTTAAAAATAAATGGATACTTACATATACATTAAATAATTAAGCTTTCATGACCTTTGTATTCGACAGTCTTAATAAATCCTTAAGAGATACTCAGAATAACCAGACTATGACCATACTTTTTAAAAAAAATCCGAATATTTTCAATGAAATAAGCAACAATATCATATTACCTTAATGTTTATTTTCAATCTAGATGTTTACAAGGATATTTATCTTAGCAATTATATTTTCAGGTAATAAGAAGTCTAAATTATGGTTGATATTTATTAATTAATTTCAGAGTTTATTAAAATTATTAAAATTATTATAACTGATAATATTTTACATTGTCTTGATGATATTACCAACATCTTTTTTTCTCCCTTAGTATTGTTTGTTTGAATCTTCTCATTGATGTTTAGAACTGAAATTGATCAATCTCTTGTTGGCTTATGTGCATAATGTGCGTATTGCCTCGATATAGCCATGATTCGCAAACATTACCAACAAATATGGATATATTTGCTAGCAGTGGAATACAGGATGTGCTTTTCGTCCCATTTGGGCCTCGTCAGCTGGATATACTTGGATCTCAGAGATGATATTCACTGTGGGGCTTGAACTCAGTACCGTTCTATTCAAACTCCATTGCGTTATTGATTTACCGACTGGGTCCTGTTGAGTCCTAACTAAGAAGAAACGTGCGTTTTCGATTCCACTGCTGGCCACTATCTATTTTTGTTTATAATTCTTCTTTTGATGAAATACTTGTAAAATACTAACAGTGAAATTAGAATTATTGTTCATTTATAAATTTTATCAACAATTCATCTGTGGAGTCTGATACAAAAAGATATTTCATTTGTTGCTTTATAAACGAATTGTTAGAGAGTTTCCAAAGCTGAATAAAATACTGATAACATAAATTTCTATTCCGTAGAGTTTTGGAACACACGTAAACTATAATAAAGCTATTTGATTTTTGATGATTTATTCAGTAAATTGCATTGTTGAAGAAAAAAACTTTGGGATTATTTTTGACCTAAATGTAATTCATTCTATAGAGGTAGAATATCTGGGTAGGACTTGGAATGAATGGTGAATGAAACTTAACAGTATTTTGTATATCTACTTATGTATTGTAACTTCATTTACTGTGTTTGAATCTGTTCTTTAAAATAGAACGAGGTAATCATGCAAATTACATAAGTAATTCAGTTTAAATTAAAAAATGTTTTCATTTTTATTTATCATTAGTCATAAATAAACATTATTAAGAAGTTCAGAATCACAATAAGGAATTTGACTAGTAGTCTTCAGGAGGTATTTCCTGAAGTTCTAGTGAGAAGCAAAGACCAGTGAAGTTCAACCGGGTCTGTTGTGAGATTGTGACTCACTGAAGTCTATGATGGACGGTTGCTCAATTTCGTGGATTGGTTGAAGTTTGACATTAACACCGTTGGATGCCGGTTCAGTGGTTCTAGAGAGCAAGCGCTCGCGCGCGAGACCGACAGGTTCTGAGTTCTAGTCTCTCGAGTAGGATCCGTGGATGCGCACTTCTGAGGAGTCCCACAATAGAAGGAAACGGCCTTCCAGTACTTCCAGGTTTTTCATGGTGATCTAACTTCAATTGATTCATGATCTCAACCATTGAAATTACTATAATATCCACAAGAAACTCCTGATAAGTCTTTTATCAATTCCCATTCTTCATCTGATATTATTACATAGTCTTCAAAAATTGAAATATTTCCCTAAATATGTTCAAATGAATTTAAATGTTATTTGAAATTCAATTCACCATTTGATTGTTTAATAAATGAAAAAAATTTAGTCAAAAGATTGAAGATAGGGTAAAATAGGAAACATAGAAAATCTATGGAAACAACAAATAAATAGTAATCAGAAGGGGATTTGTGGAGATTTCAGTATATTTCAAAGTTGAAATCATGAGTCAATTGAAGCTAGACCACCATCGAAAACCTGGAAGCACTAGACGGCCGTTTCGTCCCATTGTAGGACTCCTCAGCAGTGCGCACCCGCGATCCCGCACTCGCGAGATTCGAACCCAGGACCTACCAGTTACGAGCCAGAGCCCTTAACCGAAATATACTGAAATCTCCACAAATCCCTTTCTGATTATAATCATATGCTCACTAGTGACTGACTTCAAGATACATGTCCGGGAGTTCTAGTGGGAAGCAGCGACCAGTGGAGTTCAACCACGTCTGTTGTGAGATAACAACTCACTGAAGGCAATTGGTGGTGTCGCTCATAATTCGTGGATCAGTTGAAGTTAGACATTAACACCGTTGGATGCCGGCTCAGTGGTCTATCGGTTAAGGGCTCTGGCTCGTAACTGGTAGGTCCTGGGTTCGATTCCCACGAGAGTGGTTTCGTGGGTGCGCACTGCTGAGGAGTCCTACAATGGGACGAAACGGCCGTCCAGTGCTTCCAGGTTTTCGATGGTGGTCTAGCTTCAATTGACTCATGATTTCAACTTTGAAATAAATAGTAATTATATGTATTAATATATACTACTTTTCATTTTATAATAGGTAAGGCGAACGGCCGATAATCTTAATTCTCATGTGAATTACATCATCAATCAATACTGCTTCTACTATTTCAGATTACCGAAAGATTCACACTCCATTACAAAAATAATTCACTTGATAAAAAAAATACCATAGAGTGTAAGATACAATACATTTTCTTTATATATTGTAAAGTGTGTAAAAAATGCCAATTGACAATGGGATATTTACAATCAACTATAATCAATAAAATTGAAAATCAAACAACGGCAAGTTGGATTGAAGCAATGTGTAAGCTAACTGGAAGTTACAGCATTACAGTAAGTTATGAATATTTGGTTTATATGTATACTTCTTTGCAATGAAATCAAATACTTTCTGGAAACTGATTATTAACAACAAAATTAAAAAATAATGGTATATTGTGATTTCAGCTTCAATTGTATTTTAAATGAATTAACTTTGAACTACATTGAACACTTTGTTGATTCAGCCAAAAACTACTACTAAACAATGTTCATTATGACAATACATTGATTTACAACTGAATTCATCGCTCCTTTGAGTTACGTAAACTTAAAACTACTTTTTCTCTGAGCTGGCAGCTCAGAGAACACCCACCTGAGCTACAAATCTTCTCCACCAACTTAAAACTACTATCAAAAAAGTCGTTGAATGTATCATCAAAAATTATAGTCGAAGAAACATTTCAATAAACCGCTTCCACAAGTTTGCTTAGACGAAAATTTCAACAACGATACTATAATTGTAATTCGATCTATAAAAAGAATATAGTAACAAACGTAGGCAACTAAACGCTTGATACTTTAGAAGGTTCAAAACTTGTTGACAAGGTTATATATATTTTACACTCATAAACCGGGAACTTATGAGATTTTGTCAATTCTCATCTATTTATTCGTAATCAATAAATAATTTCAATAAGACCGAACAAATTGAATTTTAGGTAGGCTAAGATCATCATTTGAATAAGTAGACCCAAGTTTTTCACTGGCAAACATTATTAAGCCGCAAAGCATCCGTCAATAATGTTATCTTTGGGCTATTCGACTTTTATTTATTGAGAAACTTGGAAATTGATTTTAAATTTTCCTACTTTTAGTGTTCAGCTTTGATCACAGAATATGTTTGGAATGCAGCTGAAGTTATTCATTCTACAAATTCCACTTCATTCTGTCGAGTAGGTCTAAATAACTGTTCCATGTTTGAATGCTTGCGAGTTTATGGTAGCCTTAATTTGTAACTCTATCCCGAAATAGTTAACCAACAGAGTGGTTCTAAGCTTACGAATTATTTACTAAAATGGCTTTCATGAAGTATTTCTTATTAATAGTTTACATCAGTTGTAAAGAAACCATATTTATAGATGTCAGACAAACAGAGGATGAAACTATGGCATCTCGATAATACTAGACGACGGCTGACAAGTATCGTTAAATGCCTGAATCTCAAAATGCGAATCAGCAAATTTCGAGCAAGTAACCAAACGACATTGTCACCATAAAAAACCCTGAGGACTCAAGGTTTAATTATAAATAAGAAATAGGATCCATAGTGTTGATGAGCTGAAAACCTAAATGAAACGGCTTTGAAATACTCCATATTTTTCTGCGATTATACATTCGTTGCTAATACGTGAACTGGTATAATAGTTAATGAGATTAATTACTACATTTCTTTTTTCCAGATCATTCATTTGTGTAATTAATGGCTTGACGAATAGTTATTTATGACTATTTTAACCAGTTTTACCGACACAAATTAACTTGATTGTTATCCTTTGAAAATTCTGTAAAAAATAAATTTGTTAGCTTTGTGCTTACAGACTCTGTTATTGTATGTCAATTGATGAACAAAATGAAAGTTGCTTTAATGGTTATGAAACTACGTGCTAGTTACGAAAGTTAAATTGGTCATCTACCCAAGAAATGCTAAGATTAGAAAATATAACGTTATCTACATAGTCATTCAATGTTTCAAAGTCATTGCAAGTATCCTTCAGGAGCCTTAATGGTCAGCTACATCTGCTGATTAGAACAGAAATAGATAACTGTCAATAGACTGCAAAATCAATGTTCAAAAAATTGTAAAATAAATAGTTCACTTTTAAAGTGAGACTGAAAGAGATACCTACTAAGAAGCACTATAAGCAAAGATGGATAGTGAATCCAGGACACGCATTGGGACTTTTAAGGTGAATGTGCCTGCATTCAATAGTTGGCGTTCACTATGGGACTCGAACCCAGTAACGTTCGCTACAAACACCATTGAAATTTCCAGCTGATAAGTCTCAAATAGGACGAAATGCACGTCCTGGATTTCATTACTAGTCAATGTCCATCTTTTCTCAGAATGCTTTTAACTTAAAGCAATATCGGGGCAATCTGCACAGGATGCACATGTGCCAACAAGCGACTGATCAATTTCAGTTCTTAATATCAATTGAGAGATTCAAACAAACAATACAGACATGGTATTCTAGATCTCGTCTCAACTATTCAAAGGATATTGTAGGAACAAAATAAACTATTTATGATAATATTTCCTGTTTCGATATTTGGTATTGAACTCATCAATAGTTAAAAGCTTTCTACACTAGTATATTAGTCCAAGTATATTATGAAATTAAATGTAAAGATTTTCCTTATAGCATATAAATGCTTATAAATATTACTGTACATTAAAGTCTGATGAATATCTAATCGAAAATAATACTGTTCGTTTATATCTGTTGTTCTGAATGCCAGTCAGTCAAATGTATCGGAATATTCGCATAGTTGAAAAGCAGGTGATTCAGAGATTAAATAATCAGAATGAGAGAAACTTTAACTTGTTCATCTGTCTGTTTTCGGCACTTTATTTAATGTCATCGTTTTTATCTATCGTGACCAATTTATTTATAATCTATATTATCTCAATATGTGTCTATCAGCTCACTATACCCTCATCTGTCCTCATGATCTGTTTGATCATATATAAAAGGCTATTTGATACTAATTTTCTATTGTTATGGTGTTCAACTTCTTTCCAACTTCCCAACATATAAGCAATAATGAACAATAAGTAACAACTAGATGCATTTTGCTTTTAACTGTGTAGTAATTCCTAAATGTATCCAAACTTGAAATGTTTCATATTTTTAAGTTATACATAAAGAGTTTTGCGATGTATCAATCAAGGTATCTTTTGATTTCTTTCTTCTGGAAGAGGATGAGAAATTATTCAATGAACAAACTATGTTTACCCTGTATGACTCACACAAGAAACAAATACGTGAAGGTTGTTCACCGACGTCACCAATTTGGTCGAAAACCGTTTTAAGTTTTTATAAAGTGGTTATTCAAAACATTCATCCTCATAATATCTGAATAATATTTTAGTTATTAATAAGAAATCGATTTAGCTTTTTATGAAGAAACGATATTCTTCATAACGTCTTACAGTTTGAATCCATTAAGTTCGATTAGTTTTAACCTAACGGAATCAATATGACTTAAACGAGGCCATTATTATTAACATCATCTAAGATGGTTGATTCTATTAGTCACAACGGTTACTGTTGATGGAGCACCTGGTTATAGGATACCAAGTAAAGTCGAATACAATGGGAAGATATTATCATGTTATATTGTTCTAAGCAATTTATTTGCAAAGAATCTGGCTTATTATTATTATTCTGTTTATTTGCTAAACAAATCTCGATAAATACTTAAGGTATAATGAAATACTTGTTACAAATATAATTGTAAGTAAAATCGTGATCATAAAGATGTGCGACAAAGTTATCCTTACTTGTTTGTATTTCGGTACTCTTCATAATCAGGATTAAACAAATATCAGCTGAAAATTATCATCCCACACTTTAAACAAATAGCTGTTTATCTAGACATAGTAATTCATTGGACGATTTATTATTTTTGGAAACCTATTTTGTATGAATATTAACGCTGTTATATTGATACACACAGCTGGGAAATGTCATGTAAGACGAGAAACACACCTTGGATTTTGTTGTCGCTTGACACCGCAATAAATTATATTACCTTTAATTTTAACAATCAATTAATGATAGAATCTTGTGGAGAGAAATTCAAAGTCATCTGTATCAAATTGACCAAAGCACATTCTGTCACAAGCTCGGTAGAAAAGAGAAAGTAATTTGTTAATACATTTTACGTTTTTAAGACAAAAATACAAAACATTGAATGGATGATGTCTAGATTTCTGCATCATGGACAGGTGGGTTGTAATTAAGTCAATGAACAAAATAGAAAGTGTTTAAATTAATGATGTAGACTGAGAGGAAATATAATAAGAATAGTACCCGCGAAAAATAAAAATTTCGTAACAATTAAAAAAACGGAAAGACCCCATCTTTTTTAACTTTTCAGTGTAACCCTTTATCAAGTACATGCGAATTTCATAAAAAGTTGTCATCAAAAGCTGGTATTTGTCAGCTTTTGAGAAAAAGTGTTTTCAGTTTATTTTAAATAGCAGTGGATTAACAGGGTCAATATAATCTGGCATACTTACCTCTTAGTGATTTATTTGTTTGCAGTGAGATACTAGACCCTGTTATAGACAAGTGAATTACTTACTCACTCACGCCTTTTAACCCCGTGGAGGAGCATAGGCTACCCACCAGTATTCTCCATCTATACTCTTGATAGTCGTAGTGGAATTTAGATCGGATAAATAGTTCATCTGCTTACTGCTCTGCATCTGACTATACGGTTTTCTTAAATTATCTGGATGCGTCCCCTTTATACCAGGAGTGTTGAGCATCTTATCTATAAATGCATGGGCTACGATGTGCTTCTGACTAAACGCTTTCTCGAGAAGCTCTAACGCTTTACGATAGCCTTCTGGTATGAGCAAGGAACAATAAAAAAAAGTAGCCTTGGCCTTATCGTTTGAATACTGAATCGAATAGCTTAACCTAGTTTGGCATCCAACAATTTCATCGAAACAGTTTTCATAGTTCCGTATAAAACTCCAATAGTTCATGGGATTACCATCAAACCACTACTTTATTAGAACATGTCGTTCTCGATCATTTTTAGAATACATTTTTGAGTATTTATCAATGCGCAGGTCATTTCTCTTACCCATATCTTAACATAAAGATGATTTTGACAGTGACCTGATCTAAGGAGTTATTTGATTACTTTGACATCTCTCAGTTTAAGTAAGATTATTATAGACTTTTCTTCAAGCTCATCTATTTCATTTTGTTTCAACACAGTTCATTCTAAGAGTTTCCATCAAAATTAACTATAATAACTACATAAGCGTCTTCTTATTTTAACTGAAACTGTCATCTTCAGAATAATAATCATGATGTTATTCATCAATTATTAAATATCATAGATTAATGATTCAAGGTATAAAAGTTATATGTTGAGAATATCCTGACATCTTAAATGATTGAACTTTTACCGTGTTTACTACGCTCTTATAAAATTAAGTTGATTAATTCATTAATGATGAAACTGATACTATGGTTTTTTGCTACTGATGTCGACAGATATAAGTAGTATGTATCACCAATCGAAAGTGAAATGCGTGGCAGTAGATGGTTGAGAAGATCGAATAGAAGAGGACGAGAACAGAGAGTGATTGGTATAGAAACAAAGGAGCGACGGAGTCCGAGACAATCGGTGGATATTTTACATATTAAGTATTACTGTATGGTTCTCAAATTTTGCTAAGAGATTCTGTAATGTTATATTAAGATACGTTCGGTTGTTCTCTACTATCTTTTCGTTCACTACAATACTATTAACATAGTGAGTAACTGTCATGTGTTCATATAGTGAACTTTGGTGTTCACCATTTTAAATGATGGAAACATTATTGTTATATGATTTTTCTATTCATCAAACATCTCCGTCACAGAAATGTGATCAGATAAGCTGTGATCAGATCATGTAGAAATATTTGTTTTTATTTAAAAACATTTTATGCGAAACATTGACCCTTTTTTATCTGCCTACGAAACATTTGAATTAACTGTAAATATATTAGTACATAAAATATAAATTAAATATAATAAACAACTTATTAGGTATCAAAATACATTACCTCATATAGAAGTGAAGCAGATTGAACTTTAATCTCTATATGGTGCGTAATAATATTGAATAATGTGACATCAACGATTCCATGTTAATATAAATGTCAGTTTTATTTCATACAACATATAGATACCTATTTTGTGACATCATGAAATACTTCATCTGTGTTATAATTACTGTGATAAGTATGATTATTCATATTTTGAAATTGAATAATAATTAATTGTTGCTTTTCTTCTTCTCTTCAAGTTGGAGTCGCTTTGTCCTACTCTGTCAAGGTAAACCTTTGTGATAACAGTTACTATATATATAAGCATTAAAAAAATAATAATCAGAACCCATTCAAACATCTTCATTATTGGATTTTCCATATTAAAACATCAGTGTCCCGTATTTTAAAATATGTAGGGTTTTCAGTGAATAATCAAACGACTGCAAAATAATAAATAATAGTTAATAATGATCCTTTGATAATCACTTTTCTTCGAATAAACAAATATATCATCAAATTTTCAATACATTATACTTAGATCAGAAGGGATTTTGTGGAGATTTCAATATTTTCATAGTTGAAATCATGAGTCAATTGAAGCTAGACCACCATGGAAAACCTGAAAGCACTGGACGACGTTTCTTCTAGGCTTTCCTTGGTGGTCTAGCTTCAAATGATTCATTATTTCAACTATGAAAATGTTATACTTAGATAAACAATAAGATTTCAACGAGTATCAATGTAACACATATTGCAAACAATTATAAACCGTTAATTATTGCTTGTAGTAAATAATCAGACTTATGGTACTGAAGTATCTTTTTAATTTGAAAAAATGGAGAAATATCTGAAAACTAATCAGAGCTGTTTAATATTATTATCATTTGTTTAACTGTATTCTATATCAACAGTAGCTAAACTAAGCGGATTTTCTGTAAGATCTATTTCCATATTGGTTATGGAACTGCGTAACAGTTTTATATCGTGGTATAGAAGCATTTCGCTTCGGTCTCTTCTCTTCGTTTCCTCGATCGTTTGTCCGGATCAACGATTGTATGAAATACATGTATTCAAAACTTCATTTTCGTGTTTGGCTTATTTAATTCTGCTATTGAATAACCCCCGCTAAGTCGATAATTATATGTGAGGATTGATGATATGTATAAGTCGATAATGAAAATAACATGATCCAATTGAAGTCAGATAATCGGTCACTAAAATACAAATGTAAACGTTTTGAATTTACCACATAGTTGTATGATGTAATAACTTTTCATGATTAAGAAAACAACTGATGACATTGTTTTGATTATCTAAATAAACTGAAGCTTGATTCAGGTGTATATTACACATTATTCTCATCAAAATGTTTTGTTCTTAGATGTCGGACGTCATTTTTTGTTGCGCTGGGAAGCCATGATGGTTGCCGAAAAACTAGTTTTCATTTTTTACAAATGGATAAATTTCTTAATCTGTACAACCAATAAAATAACTGATCTTCTACTTTCGACTATGGTTATTTAACTATTTCCTACGTAACTTGACATTTAACAAATTGTAGATACATATCGCAAGCTATAGTCTCTTTATTTCATTATTTTTTTATAGTTTTTTTTCACAAATTTAAATATTTTAGAATGTGGATATGTCAAACACAAAAGAAACAGTTGATTACCAATTAGACAATAATTCCAGTAAGCTAATTTCTGATTTATTCCATAATCTTTCACTCACTTATTTAGCTTGTTCTATGTGTATACAATTTATTACTAAATGGCAAACATATCTGAACTCAACTTCAGTGGATAAAAAGATTGAACAATTTATTCGATCAACTTGTTCATTTTATTTCTTTTTCAGATATCGGGTAAATTAAATTTTTTGGTTGTTGTTGTATTTATTCAGTCGTCATGATAACGATTTTACACTTAGTTTTAATTATCTAACATTTTAACACATCGACTGTAACACTATTGTTTAAATCTACCAACACTTTTGAACAATTAAATCAATTCCGTTCACTGAAATGTGAATTAGAGAACATAAGAAATAATCATTCAACAGATGTTGCTGTTAATATATTTTTAACTATTGCACTTCCTTAAATGACCCTGGAAAATGATTAATAATAGTAATTGGTCAGTAACACTTTCAAATGGATAGTCAGGAATATAATTTATGATTTATGTTCATGCATTAAGTCAGATGGTAGCATTAGACGGACACATTTCCCACTGATATATTTATATAAACAAGTTATGTCTTTCTTTTAGTAGCTCATGTGAAATATGTTCATGTATTTTTCTCAATAAAATTTGTTGACTACCTAATGATCATGAGATGGTGGAGATTTGTAGCTCAGGTGGGTGATTTAGATGTAGGTTTGTTTTATGAGCTGGATGGTTTGGTCATGGAGCTTTCATCGACTTTCTGAACGACATCAGCACAAACACTTCACTTCTACCCAAAGTTTGTGCTGATGATGTAGTTCAGAAGGACGATGAAAGCTCCACGACTAAACCATCCAGCTCAGAGAACAAACCCACATCAAAAACCTAATGATCATTTTTTTACAAGAGTCATGTAAAGATAGAATTCAGATCACACTTTTGTACATTACCTGAATCATTTTTTCTTGGAACTGTGTTCAAAGAAAAAACACACGAAAACACATTGATCTTAATTTGAGAACTCAGATATTTCAATATAACCACAATTCGTTAAAATAGGCCTGATAAACCCTGTACTATTTGATGATATCTAAAATAAGACTAAAGTATATAACAATATTATATCCGAATTACATTGGATAAGTGAATCAAGTTAGAAATTTCTTTATTAGTTTATTTTCCTAGTTCAGCCTATAAAGATTTATTCGAGCTACTAAGAGATAGGAAATTTTTTATTATGTGTATGCATAAGTGTTATGTTCAGACGAAAATAAATGAATGATAATTGTTAGAATCTACTTTTGGACTAATACTATACGAAAATTCTTACTGTATCAGTATTAAGTAACTATATTATATGTATACTTATATTTCCTTCATTATAAGCTTTTACTTGACTTATTGACTGTTAACATACAATTTACTATTCTTGAGATATTCCCAATCTATTAGTCACAGTCTCTCACAATCACAGCCACTTTTTGTCTTGATCGTATACAATTTTTATTTTCTATTTTATGTTGTGGTCTGCTTTGTTTGCGTATAAACCAAGTATGTTTGAAATATATGATTCATATCGTGGAGGCTGCGATCGGCGTTCTGAACTTAACAGGCAAGCCTAGGCGGAAGAAGGATCAATAAGAACTCCAGGATTCTGGTACTGGTATATGCGTCATTAGTTTGGTCTTATAAGTCAGCATATCTAAATTAGCAATCGTATTTTGCATTATTCGTATAGCAAAGATCATAACAATAAGATTTATAATTATATAAATAAGAATCCTTTTTACATAAAGCTTGTCATAACAGTGATCTATAAATTACGTGTTCAGTTTACTTTCATAAACTGTTTATTTGGTCTTAGCACTTATTCGATTATTTTATTTTTTGATTTCAGTGTGAGAAGTTTATGGAAAGATGTGTGAATAAAACAATCTATATTATGCAACATAACAATGCTACAACATTATGCAAAGTAAGATAGATGCAATATAGTGCGTTAGTATATTGCTGAAATAATAAGTTTTCTATTATTTAATGTATGTTAATAATCTTAAAAGGTTAGCATCTTTTATACTTTCTCTATATATATAAGAGTAGTGCAGTAAGAAATATCGTGACACAACACAAACTGAATGCTTTAAAAAAGAATATTCAAGGTATTGAGGCTTTATGATTAATTTTTCAGCTAACCGACAGTAAATCCAGCTCTAGAAGGTGAGCTTCAAAATAAACCTGACACATACATATTTGGGTGACAGAATAAAGCGAATTTACGCTAATGCGGCTCATAAGAGCATATTTTGAATAGCATCAAACATACTATATCGCATACAATAAAAGCCATAGGAATAAACACAAAATACCTAGCCTTCATATTCATTAGGAATTTGCACTCCCTTGTCATTATCCTGGACATCTGATAAATTATATCGTTTTACAAAATTCATATTACTTTAATTCATTTCATTTATTCGTGCTTACGCAGTCAGTTGTTATTGCTTACCTGATTGACTAGTTTACACAATTATGTTCTTATTAACTGACAACTACTTCTGTACATAATACTAAATGGGGCTAAACGTCGTTGATTTACATCATTGTTTGACTATTATGGACACAATATTCAGAGGTAAAATTCAAATAACTTCACTAGACGAATAATAAGCAACTAACCTTAAACGAGACATTTCACTTCTCTATCTAAAATGAAAGATCTATATATTCTGTAGTGAATGAGAACACTATTTCTGTTCTTCTCTTCTTGAACTTCTATTCCTTACTCACGATATATACTACTTATGTCGATTTAAGTAGCCCACACAACAATTCTACTATTAAGCATTGTTAAAGTATTTACATAACATTGTTATTTAAATGATAATATAAATATCAAGTTATTTCCTTTCAGCTTTCAAATTACTAATTTAATTTACAATTGTTTTATTTGTTTCGCAGTTGACTCCTTTATGTTAAAGTATGTATTGGGGACAATATGATCTGACTATTTATATTTTTGTGTAACAACATTTTCAAAGTAAATATATATATGTATTAACAAATGCTATTCGTTTTCATTTTCAAAGTGTTTCCAAGGGATACATATTCTCATTTACTAGATAGGGATTGTCATGTTTATTGTCTTCTGAGAAGAAATATCTCATAGTTATCAATTTCGCTATCTTACGTTATGATTTGAGAAATGCGACTAAATCGGAGCAATTATTGAAATTCGTATACATAAATATCCATGTCAATGAATGTATAAACAAATGAAATATATAACCAGTTAGGTCGTTTGATCTAAACAAAAGTCATTCGAAATATAATTAATGTTGTTGATTAGTTCTGATTGATTTATGTTGGTCGGTTATGATTAATATATTAGATTTGAATGAGTTATATATACACATTAGTTTTATGGATGAATGATCTGATAGATGGTTGTTTAAAAGGCTCTAACTTTACGTTTTTCCCATTGTCACTGATGTAGCATCGTTCAATGTAGCACAACAATCGTTTCCATCAATTTCTTGTGTTCCTAAGTCCACTGATGATGTGTCATCGATAATTGACTGAATTTTAGATGTACAACTACTTGTAAAAGTATTTTCATCCCAATGATATTCATCATTATCATATTGTAAATTTCCGTATGCCTGAGTAGTTTCATTTTCTAAATTGGTCGACCAAATTTTTGTTTGATCATGATGTGAAAATGATATTTTGACTCGATTCATACTATCGTTTAATTTATTAGGCTTGCAACAATTTATAAGCAATATTAGAATAATTAAAATCCCAGTAAGTAAACCAACACCTGGAAGAATTCCTTCAATCATAATAGATCTGTTATCAGCTACACTTGATGATCTAGTAGTAGTAGTAGTAGTAGTAGTAGTAGTAGTAGTAGTAGAAGTAGAAGTATCAGTAACAGAACTGAAATCTTGATGTTGACATTTAATACTCCATAATATTGAACATGAAAGTAACAAATAAAAGTAATGAAACATATTTTTTTGTATTGAATTACTAAATTTTTTACTGAAGAATCTTAACAAACAAGTGATGAAATGTCTATGAACATGAGATTTTAAGAATTATAATGATCATCATCTTTATTAATCTAATTCTTTAATGTTAATTAAAACGAGAAAAAGAAAGGGAGAACTAAATATAGTTGGCTTTATATTACTTTACAGTTTCTCTCTTGTTTTTTGTCTACTATCATTGTACTTCTATTCATCATTGTTCACAGAATAAAAACAAGAGAATTTGATAAATATGAAAAACAATTGCTTCTTGTTTTGATAAATTATTTACTTCAAACAGTTTCCATTTAATATATCTATATTATTATTATTATTATTATTATTATTATTATTATTATTATTAGTAGTAGTAGTAGTAGTAGTAGTAGTAGTAGTAATATCCAAAACAAAACAAAATATTTATTGTTAGATTGACCTTCAATAGTTTTACTTGGTTAAAAATGATAATATTTATTTATTTTGTAAAAAGTATACAATTTATACAATATGGTATATTTTGAATTTTTATAATTATAAGATTAATATTATAAAACCTGTGATTAATAATTTATATTTCGTATTCAATATTATGTTGCTTTGTAATCTTACTAAACAGAATATAATGAGAAAAGGGTTTTGTAGAGATTTGAATAATTTTAATAGTTGAGATCATGAGTCGAATGATGCTAGACTACCATGAAAAACCTGGAAACACTGAATGGCCTTTGAGTCTTATTGTGGAGCATAAGTTGCCAACTAGCATTCTTTAACACACTCAGTCCTAGGCCTTCTTTTCTAATCCTATCCAATTGTTGTTCATTCCTCCCATGCATGTTTCCGTTTCTCAGTGTTATGTGTTCTTTGGTCTTTTTCTTCTCCATTGACCTTGAGGATTCCGTGTGAGGGTTCACCTTGTGACGCAGTTTGATGCTATTCTTAATGTGTGTCCCATCCACTTCTAGCGCTTCTTCCTAGTTTCTTCTTCCGCTGGAATCCCGTAGAAAACTAACTTTCAAAAAAGCGCTAATTAGAGTTTTGATTTTCATAATATAATTTAAGTAAATTCCTTATTGTATATTTTACTGATATACAAATTGGTAATATGCATGCTAATCAGTATTTCACTGAAGATGAAAGTTCATACTTACAGATTTGGTTTCAGTTGTTGTAACATTTTATTTTGTCTTGTGTATTAATATAATGACTTAGCTCAAAGTAAGCCGATCATATCTAAAACAATCGTATATGTGATATTACACCAAAACTATTTATATAATTAAACAAATCTAGTTCGTTTCAATTTATAAGCAGAAGAGATTTTGGTATATTTAGTGATATAAATCTGACCTTCGTTACATGGTACTATAATGATTAATCAAAATGAAAGTATTCCGGGTAACCAGAGCTGCAGAACTTGACGAAACAGTGAATGATGTCGGAAGTAATAATTTCTCAGTAACACTGATAATCCTGAAAAAACAACGTTATCCATTCTAGTATCATTGTCGTGAAATAAAACTCAGTTCCTCAATAGTGAGAAAAAACAACTACAAACAACCCACAGACCAATCTAATCACACTTAAGTTAAAATCGTAACTTCTCCAAAATCTCATAATTCATGGCCACCAGCCACAAAATATCACTTCACTAAGTTTTTCAGTGAGGTCCTCACTACATTATGATCTGATTTTAGAATGCCTATTTTCCTGCCTACTTTTATCGATCAGTGTTAAGACCATCAATTGGGTCACGAAATTGTCTGCTGCAATAGAAAAGAAAATGACGTTTCTCATCTTTCTTGTATGATACTGACATATTTTTTAGCAATGTTGTAGCTACCCACCTTCCCAGGGTATACAAGGTGACATTTAGATTTACCAGTTTTACCTGAAATATCCTGCGTGTATGTAAGCATTCCTTGAATATGCTTTCTGCATTTGTGAATTCAGTGTTATATCTCTTAATCTCCCCAATCAAATGTGTAAAATTATTAGATTAGGTGAGATTTTTGTTTCTCTTGCGTTCACAGTTTCAGTGCTCAGTCGTCTTTCTGCAGTTATATGAATCACTTTCGTCTGTCTTGGATCTTATTTTACTCAATCGTAAGACATTAGCTGAGTATCTTGGTGTTAGCTTATTTTTCCGAATACTTGGATAGAGAACACCGTTCTTCTAGTGCACAAAAACATTTTTTCCGTTTTACAATTAGCTGAGTTTTTTTACTTTTAAATATGTTGTAGCTGTAAATAATCCCCCAAAATCAATAGCTCATTAAGTGTTCGACATTGGATGCTGACCACGTTGTTTAAGTGAACATTTTTAACTGAAGACTTTCGGTCATGCATCCGTATCAGATCACGTTTCGACTCGGCGTGGGACACTGCTCCTACGTTCACTAGAATAAACGTTCCTTGACATAATGATAACGTTCATTAGAATAAGCGTTCCTTGACATAATGATAACGTATCAAATATATCTTTCCTACCTTTTCTCGTCTGACTTCTGATTTCTATCGGGCGTTAGAAGGTTTCGAATATAGAAGGTGCTACTGGCTGCTAATTGTAAAACTAGAATACCAGTGGTGAGCCCGACGTGGTCTGATACACCAAGCCAATAAACTGTGAGTCTGTTCCTTTTTGGAATATTATTATTCATTGTTATTCCTTATTTGATTTTTATATATTGTGACATACTTTTTTTCGCGAGTTTTTCCGGATATATTCTAATTAAATATTTTACGTTCTTTATATTACTATGACGGAACAGTCACCTAAGGTTTTTAAGTTAAAATCTATTCCCCCAACTTTGATTCAGTTAACGCCATTTTGGCCTGACAATATCGAGTCCTGGTTCTGCTACGCAGAAGCTGATTTTTGCGGGCACGGAATCACGGACTCGCGCACACGATTCCTCGCGATAGTTAAGGCGTTACCGCGCGAATTTAACAGGTACGTAACACCTAGTATGTTTACTAGTGATGTTCCGGAACCTTATGAAACTCTCAAACGGTCGATTCTAGAACACGGAGATCTAACTGATCGACAGAGATTAGACCTACTATTTAACAACATCGACCTGCAACATGGTTCCGCGGTGGACATGTTGTTAAGGATGTGAGAAGTCATAGGTCAACGAACGTTCGACGATGGCCTATTCAAACAACTTTTCTTGTCTAAACTCCCGAAACAGGTGCATGCAGTGCTCGTTTAGGTTCAAAACAACGCCGTAGACGAACTCGTAGCATCTGCCGAACGAATCTTAAAAATAACGAAGCCTACTAACGCTGAGATCTTTTCAGTCCAAGAAACTCAAACGACCCCGAATGACATCTCTGAATTATGTCATACTCTCACACGCTACCTTTGATTTCGCAATGACTGTAGTCGGTCAAAATCCCCACGTAGGAGCGTTTCACGTAAGCGATCTGTCTCTCGTGGTCGAGAGACAGACAACCCCGACTAGTGCTGGTATCATAACCAGTACGGTGAGTCTTCCAGAAATTGCAGGAAACCCTGCAATTATACGACCTCAAAATAGAATGACACGAAAAACGTTTCGGGAAACTTCCCAACCGGCACGCGTTAACGGCAACCGTAGCCGGCGAACATAGCCGTCTGTTATACGTCACGGATGTGACTACGAAAGTTCGCTACCTCGTCGACACCGGTGCAAAAGTAAGCGTTCTTCCCGCGAGTCTGTTTTAAGTTTACAGGCGGCGGACGGAAAACCGATAGCTACATACGGTAAAAGGTACGTTTACCTAAACGTGAGTTTACGCAAACCCATTCACTGGATTTTCGTGGTTGCAGATCTTTCTATGTCAATCATTGGTATAGACCTGTTACAACACCACAATCTACTCATCGACACACGCATACGAAGGTTAATAGACGGAAACACTAAGTTATCTGTTTGCGTAACTCATTTTTCTGGTCGCAGATTATCCCCAGTCACAATTAAGCACGTCATAGACCCCAATATTAATCATTACTCGACAAATACTCCGAGATATATCAACCGCAACCAAAATTGTCGTGTGTAACTAGCAATGTTGCACATCGCATCATGACTACAGGATCACCTGTATTACCAAAAGCACGACGACTGGCTCCCAAAAAGCTTAGGTTGGCTAAAAACGAATTCGACCACATGATAGACTTAGGAATAATTCGACCGTCAAATAGCCCTAGGCCATCTCCTTTGCACACGGTCCCTAGAAAGGACAGCAATGATTGGCGTCCAACTCGTGATTATCGGCGTCTGAATGCTAATACCATTAAGATCGTTACCCATTGCCTCATATTCACGATTTGACAGCTACCTTGAAAGGTACAACTGTCTTTTCGAAAATCGACTTAGTTAAGGCTCATAACCAAATGCCGATGGCAACCGACGACATTCCTAAAACCACCATCATCACTCCTTTCGGTCTTTACGAATCCTTGCAAATGCCTTTTGGTTTAAGAAATGAAACTCAAACCTTCCAAGGGTTTATAGATGACGTATTCCGAGGTCTCAACTCCGTACACGCGTATGTTGATGACTGTCGCATAGCAAGTCCGTACAAAGAATCACATCTCCAACATCTGCACATTGTTTTCGACCGACTCCAAAGGCATGGCATTACTGTAAACATTCAGAAATGCCAAATCGAAACCGACTCTTAGGACTTCTTAGGACAAACTACTGATACTCAAGGCATCCGACCCCATAGAATCAAAGTGGCGGCCATTCTGGATTACCCAGAACCGACCACGATAAGACAGTTGCGAACTTTTAACGGACTCGTAAGTTTCTACAGACGGTTCAAACCATTTTGCGCGTCCTTTAAGAAACCGTTGACAGACCAACTTCGTGGAAATGCAAAATATATTAGTTTGGACGACACAGCCCGAAAAGCATTCTCCTCAGTTAAGGAACATATCACTAAGGCAACAGTGCTTGCGCATCAGGACACTCAAGCGCTCATTAGTATCGCCGTAGACGCATCCGACTCAGCAATCGCAGCAGTCTTACAACAATGGGTTAACAACTCGTGGCAACCTTTAAGATTTTTCTCGAGACGGTTGCTAGACGCGGAATCTAGGTACAGCACGTTCGGTAGGGAACTCCTAGCTATGTATTGTGCTGTACGGCATTTCCAACATTCCATCGAAGGAAGAGAATTCACGCTTCGACTCCCAGGAGAATTCGTGGATCCTTCAGCTTCTTCATTGAACATGGATCTAAACTCTTACACGAGTAGGCTAACAAACGCAATGCGTTCAGTTAAACCTGCTCACACTCGACCTCAATCCACTGATGTTTTCGTTCAATCTGACTTACGACATATTACACATGTTTTCGTTCGTTGAGACTCGCATCCACGACCTCTCGAATCAGCATGCGGAGGACCCTTCAAAGTTCTTCAACGTGAAACTAAGTACTACGTAGTCGTGGGAGCGACGCGAACGATAGCATCAGTATCGATTGCCTAAATGCAGCGTACTTAGAAGGAAACCCTAGCTACGTCGATTTTCCTTCGGTACATTCGAACGACATGGCTCCCACAATCGTAGTACCCCACAAGACGGTCGACACACACCTTGATACTTCGTCAACGTGGGAAGATAAACTTAAAACAACACTTCTGGAAGAAGAGTAAGATTTCCAGAACATCTAAATGACTATTGCACGTAGGACACAAACTTTATCTCGAATTCCCTTTGCATTATTTATTATAAAAAAAGAATTATTTTAATATGCTTATTTTTATATATTCATTTAAAAAAACAATTTTTTTACTTATGAGCGCATACATATTTTTTTCATATAAAAAAAACAATTTTTTCCAATCGCTTATACGCTGTCGCAAGTGTATTAGTCTATTTAATTTTTTTCCCGCTCACCTTGTGTCCTTATGCATGTAGGAGTGTATTTTCGACATGCACTCACACGTTCTATTTTTTCTTTTTTCCAGGACGGCTGGAAAAGAACGATAAAGTTTCACAAGGAACCAAGATTTTCATTGTACATTGTTTCCTTATTGCTATGTTGTACATAATGGTCTCTTAGTGTAAGGAAAGACGACCAGACGCTGCTAAACATAGCAAGCTATCAGAAGAGTGTTCACCAACGACAAAGTCGTTGGGTTTAAACTTCTGGCCGGTCACGTCTTAGGGGCATCACTACCTCACTAGGTGGGGAATGATCTGTAGATGTAAATAACTCCCCAAAATCAATAGCTCACTTAGTGTTCGACATTGGATGCTAACCACATTTTTCTAAGTGGGCTTGTTTAACTGAAGGCTTTCGGTCTGTCATCCGTACCAGATCTCGTTTCGACTCAGCGTGGAACACTGCTCAAACGTTCACTAGCCAGCTTAGAGTAAACACTTCGCGATATATTGATAACGTATCAAATATGTCTTCCCTACCTCTTCGCATCTGACTTCTGATTTCGATTAGTTGGGGAACGCTTTGTACATAGGTGTTACTGGTAGCTAGTTGTCAAACAACAGCAAAGAAATGCTTAGTAAATGGAATTCGTTGTATGTTACCAGATAAATTCATTGATGTGGACATTAAGTACAATGCTAATCCTGAAGATAACTAGTTCACCGTCAAATCTCAGACGTTATACTACTTTGATGAATTATAAACACAAAATGTTCTTCAAACGATTTATTAGTATATGTGTGACCAGATTGTTTGAAACGCAAAGTGCAAATACATCACATTTTTCAGTCTAACTTCTACTTCTCATTTTTTCATTTTTATATTTTAAAAACGACTAATCGATTTTAACCTATTGCTGTAAACTTGCCGTGATACGACTACTAACCTGTGAAGTCTTACGTTCAGATCACATCATTTTCTATACTGTTTAGATGAACCATTATAATCTATGTTATGCTTCTTGTCTATTTCGGGTGTGCATATTTAGGCTTGGAAAAGAATTGCATCTTCAACGTAAGAAGGATGATGTTATATACATGGACCACGCCGTTATGACTGAACAATACCGCGTCCACTTGGTCGTAAACCATCTACGTAGGACAGATGCATGGATGACCAGAGGCCTACTTAGGGTCGACATGAACGGCGTGATCTCCCAGCCTATATCGGAGTCATACTCGGCGGTTAATACCTGAAGTGGATCAATCTTTGATCGTATTCAGATCTTATGGTTGCTTTGATAATCAGACAACGCATCCATGGAATAGGTATAAACAACAGCTGCAACTACTGAAGGATGCGCCTGTCCAGAGCGTACATTTCGTTGATACCCAACGGTAGCCCTTATCAATGACGATGATCGGAAAGTGTTCGATATTCATTGAATTGACTGGTTAGGGACCAGTGACATTTTACAGGCCTTACAAAATGTTCTCGTCTTCACCTTTCCTAGAAAGTAATGATTGTTCAATGGCTAATGTATCTCCTCCCGGTTATTGTACATTTAGCTGCAAAGATAATGTCGTTGGGAACCAATGCTAATACAGATCTCTTTTTCAAACGCATCATTGTCTTTCAATCCAATAAAAGTCAGACAACAGCCCTTAGAGAGCTATTTGCTTCTAGAAGCGCATGCAGCAAATATGGAGGACGATGAACATAAGTGTCAGAATAGAATAGTAACATTCTCGGACGGGACAAGACTCGATCGGGACAGCTTACAACAAGAAAAAATATACAATTATCAAATATGTTAATTTCGTTCAAACGCCCATAATTTACTGTAATTAATAATGGCGAATAACTATGTTCAACAAACGTCCTAATATTTGGAGTATGGTCGTATTCAACCTATCTATTCCAATCCTTGAGATTTGGTTTTAATCTAGCAGACGAACAATTGCCGCTTTACTAGATAAAAGTATTCACTGCTGTCACTGGTAAGAAAATATATCTCATGTAGGCATAAGTTCTACACCATGCGAGTAGTGAGCTCTTGGAACCAACAGCTGAATGAAGGAGTGCAGTTAACTTCTTTGAGTCATCTAACTTAGGGACTAGGAATAGCACTTCATTATGACCTTCCAACGCTTTCTTTAATTCTTTTTGTTTCAGCTGCCGGGGAAAAAGACAAAGGAGAACCCATAGACTGTTTTAACTACATTCAGAATCCCATTTTGTTAAAGTCTAAGAAATAGATTTAGTGAGAACAGTAATTTTAAAAGACAAAGTGTGACGTTGAAATAATACTTTATAAACCCGATTTCTGAAAGTTTTCCAAAAAATTAGAGTTTGTAAAGCAAGTAACTAATGTAATTAACTTAGCAGTTACGTATTTCATTCTTGAATTTGTTTGACTTGATCGAATTGCACTAACTTTAACTTACGCGAATTTAAGTGAGTAACTTTTCATGTTGCGTTATTAGTTGAGTGTGAGAGTGAGCTTTATAGGAAATGGTCGTCGGACCATGAATATGTTGGGTAAAATCTATGTTTTTGACACATGAACGTGTATTTAAAGTACTATAGCAAAGTTTTTTCAGACTGGAAATCATCTAGTGTGCGCATTTGCTTGAACTTACTCATCAATTCCGATTACATTTTAACTACTGGGGAATCTCTCTTAAAAGTATCTCAAAAAATAGTATTTAAAGATCGATGAATTCAGTTATAGCTCTGTAAATGCCACGTCAACTTACCATTACATATCATAGCTAGACAGCTTATATAAAATTAAGCTACTTTTCATTCAAATGATATGATGTCATTCAAATTACACATGCAATGTACAGTGGTCGTTGAAACTCTAACACGGATAGATCTTAAGAATTTTTATCATGTTTCTAATACTTTTAATATGAACCTGTAAGCAATTGCTTACAGCTTAAGCTGTATTTTTATACAGTATGCAGATATTTTTCCATGAGAATCCTGAAGAGAGACGTAAAGTGTAAGACTTTGGAGTATATCTTTGCGAGCGTCCATGGTCAACATATAAAATGCATGTGACGCCAAATGACGAATATGAACTCAAAACAAATTTTAATCGAAAATTTTATTAGTTGAGTTTCAAAAACAGCAAACTGTACGATTTTGTGGAAAGTGCATAACACTATTACAACCTGCCTAGTGAACGACCATATATCTTGAGGAAGTCGAGCTGAAATAAGTTGAAGTATTGATTGTGATGTATGTCTTAGCAAACTTCTGAGTCCATACAAATGCATCCTGATAGCTAAAAACCAAATCAGAGTTTAAAGACAGCAGAGCACCAAGGGTTCTTGTTAAGGTATAAATCAGATTGAAGTGGGGACTCATGTACACACCAATTGCCACTTCCCATAAGCACAATGTGAGCACTTTATCACTACTAACCTCGGCGCTCAGTGATGCAAATCTGTCAGGCTACAGACAACGTTTGTGTTCACTAGAGTCATCTTTACACTGGAGAGTGATTTTGAGACTACAGAAATTGCATGACCTAGGCTCGTTGTGTAAATCTTCTAACCTTATCTTTTGATCATGGTGCTCATATTCTCATTCTCTTTGACATCCGAATGGAATAAAATTAATGACTATATATAATGACTATATTTTCAAATCTTACTAACTTTTCCATGATTTGACTACGGCTTCAAGCAAAACCGGACAAATGATGACGTGTTTTCTTTACATTTGCTTGAGTGTTTTTGATTGTAATCGTGTTCCGACTCATATATCGATTTCTTACACGACTATTGAAATTAGCAGCTAACCAACGCTTTATAATGGTGACAACTGACGTGCAACATTCGTGACTATTCAACCGACAAGTGGTAAAATAGTTTTGAAATTTTGTCACACCATAATGGGTTTCATTTGAAAAACACTGAAAGTCAAAACAATCAATAGTACTATTTGTATTCAACGGGACAGAAATTCGTAAATAATTTTGAAACAAATCCTAGTAGCTAAGCACCGAAATATTGTTAAAAAGAAAGGACTTTTGACTCACAAAAATGTAGTATATTGAAACGAATGAATAGAGTGGATATTTGTCGACAAAGCATAAGGTTGACTTGTTTTGATCTGTGTTTCTAAATAAAATAATGGACTGAAAATTTAGGAACTAATTTTTAGTAAACATCAATAAACACTCCCAACATAAAAAGCATTATTCAACATTTTCTTCGAGAGGAAGTTTGTCAGGTTTGAACTATCTCAAAAGGCGATATCTACTAGTTTTTAGGTAACACTCATTTGAGTCAAAGTTACTGGCACAAAGTGATGGTTACGTTCCATTTCGACTGATTTACATCCATCACCAACGGTTTGGAATTATTATGCTGCATTAAAGATTTAAACAACACCTTCCAGATAATTTGCGTACATAAAGCTTTTCTAAATAGCAAATGTGGAGGAACAAGATCAAACCACTTTAAACAGTTAACAGAGACAGTTTAAATCAAACACTATTGTACTATCACTGTTATATTAAATTTTCTAGGTTCTTCATTACATGATGACTGCAGTCATGAGAAATGCAGATAAAACATGTATTATCTGCCGTGTTTACCAAAGACAACAAAATTGATTATCATGTCAGATTAATTCTCCTTTATATACCACATTTTACGGTAAAAGTTTTGAAATTAATTTAGTTCGTACACATCAAAGATTGGTCTAAGATTATTTTCAATAACCTTTTACTCAATCCTTAATTCCGCTTCTAAATTTATGATATGAAATGTTATGTTTTCAGAAGTGTATGATGAATTTGAAGGTGTGGCAAAGCTAACTGTAGTTCTCAGAATGCCATAAATCTGAATAAAGTATAGTGAAGCAACTAAAGAAAACTTAAACGGCAGACGTCTCTGAAGGTTTATTCTAGTATAAATGAAATCATTTTAAGCGTGATGAGTTGTTGAGTGTAAAGGGTGTTTTTTTACGACGTCTTGTATGCGTAACTTCAAAAACAGCAATTTGTCGTGTAAAGGAATAGATCACCTGCTTCTTGTTAAGTAGATTGGATTTAAACCTTTCTTCAATTATGACCTTTTGATTAAATATCCACTTCAGTGGTAATTGGAGTAAACTTCGAGTAACGTCAAAGATCAACCTTAAAAACTGAATAAACAGGATCTGTGAATGTATAAAAAGTGACTATGTGTAAAAGTAAACAACACCAGTAGAAAGCGGGAAATCTTAATCATTTTATATTCAGCTCTAAATAATGTATGCCAAAAACGAAATGTGGTGAGCGTAAAATTACGCACTTTCATTTAATATAACTTTGCTTATCTTGTTTCATAAAGTTATAATTAAATCCCTCTTATCAAGTAAACACACTTTCAGTACATTATTTTGCGTGCTGAAAAATATATACTTATTCCACGTCATCATTTTCTTCTCTCTGTAAATATTTTTACAGATTAAATAGAATTTAAAACTAGTCAGCTTGAGAAGAGATGTTTGAGGATTGTAAAGAATGAGATTATGAATTTTCCTGATAACCCTTTCCAATACAGAAGTAAGTATTTCACTTTTTCCATAACTTAAAGTAATTTATATATGTTATTTTGTATACTATAATGTCCATAAAGATTCGTTTACAGGGTGATTTCTTAAAGTTTAGTAACAATTCGAATATTTATTTACAAAATTTCTCCCTAAATAGGAGATTTGTCATTTTCGTTTTACGGTTTTGTGTTTCAAAAGCTAACATTTTCAAAGTCGTTACATCACCAAATGCGTGTTAAAATAAATGACTAATACCCAGTTCACATGTTATTAGGGTACCTGAAGTTCGAAAGAGGTCAACAAGAAAAACAACAAACGCCTTTAAAATACGTTTCCTTTTATTTGTATATTACGTGAATAAACCTCACTAGATAGTGTGACCTACTAAATGTGTGAAAAATTCGGTCATTATGTCAATCATGCTTTGTCAAAACATATTCAAACATACTAGAGAAAAGTATGTTGAATGTTTTTAGTTCCCTTGATGAAATAAATCTGAATGCAAGCGGATATTTTGACGAGCTGATTCCGATAAAGATACAAAAAGTATGTACAAAAGTGAGGTTTGGCTCAACAAAATAATTAAATAGATTTCTTTTCTTAGAATAATCATGAAACATCCAAATAGGTAATGTTTGACACTTCGTTCAGAAATGGGTTTAGCGGATAACGTAGTTCATCATCGTCTAAACGTAAAATACATGTATGTAAACACAAGTGGGACATATGAGTTCGGGACTCTTCCCCTTCACATGAGGATAATCACGAAAGCTTAAAAACAACCAGGGTTTGTGTGGATTTGTTTTATGAAGCATATTTTTTTACTCATGACATAAACCTATTGAATTATCCAAATCATAACTACTGAGTGTTCACTTAGCTTATATAATGTTTTAAGAAATATTACATTTTCATGACTTTAGTTAAAGTGTTGATCAATCAACCCTGTTCAACGCTTAACGATATCATTTTTATCTAAAAAAAGAGTGTTGATTGTAAAGATACTTTCAGAACGGGCCTCCTTTATATCTTTAAAACATTACTTTGAACTTAAAATTTACACAATGAGGCATTCCTCAAGTTATGTTTCTGTAACATGAATTATGTACATATGTCCTTCAGAAGGCATAGTATCTACCATGTTTACCATTTATGACGTATATGAAATCAACGTTTCAGAAATTGAAAACTGTTTGTCTAATAGCTTATTCACACCATTGTATTATAGTGAAAAGCATTTTCTCTGAATTTTTAAAAGTAGACAAAAACATGCATCCTCTAAGTTTGCTTCCAACATCAAAAGGGAAATTTTTAAAGCCTAATGACGGTGAATTAGATTGGTTTTCATTTCTTTACTTTATTCTGAAAGCTTTTCATAAGTCGAATTAACAATTCTCAATGATAAATTAAATTTTCATCTTATCACTTCAGTGATTCATTCCTGGCCTCTAGGTTGATTTCTTCGTCTTACTACGTATGGACAGCAACACTATCATGCGGTCACATAGTTATTGATTGACTTAGATCATAATACAAACTAAGTTACAAAACAACTCAAAGACTATAAGTTATGACTAAGTTATGAGATTCACCAGTAAATGCGAAAGTATCAGAGTAAGTTACGTACAAATATATTTCCTACCGATCTGGTGAGAGTGTGGAATTCGAAGTTAGTTTTCTTACTAAAATTGCATAAATTGATGAACTATTTCAAACCAAGAGGATGCTAGATAATTTGTTTGAAATACTTGAAGACTCTTCATTAGCCCACAGTAAAAGTTTTCTAACATCGAACTCAGATTCTTTATGTTTGACTGTGTGTGAAACAGACTTTGACCATTACTGGATCCTACATTTAGACTACACAGTGTCTGAATCTCCCTTGTCTTAAACGACGTCAAGCCCCACACAAAATCTCAACTAAAAAATTATGTTTAAGAGAAAGTGAACAGTTCAGACTTTTGTTTTACACATTTATTCTTCTTTATCCTGTCTTTTTCACCATCCACCTAATGAATCATATTTCTAAAATAAACAAAAAAATAACTTCATTCCAGTAAAACAAGCAAACTGAAAGAAATATGAATAAATCCCTCTGTCATTCCTGTTTCTGTGAATAAATAAAAAAAGTTTATTTTTTTATTCTGATTCAACTTTTTACACCCCTAATTTTCTTTTTAAATCATCCGATTGATTTTCAAACCAATAAAGTATTGATTAAAATCATAATTTGAATACTGATGAATGTATTTCCAAGAAAATACTGTTATATTTCAGTGAAATTACTTCAATGGCTATACCGACTTGTTTTAATTTACGTTTAATAACCAACTAAATATTGTTAAATTAAATAATAAAGATTGACTTTAAAGAGTAGAATTATAAGGGAAAATTGCATTTGTACAATATTTTAAGCCAAATTGAGTGTAAAAATATATGCTGTCTATGTGTAAAGACAATCAGTCTTCACATCATTAGTCTTATAATCAGTAATGTTTACATGAAAGTTAGTTTCGCGAACAGTTACATATCTTACAGAAATTTAAAAGCAGAATGGAAATAGACTGGTTATAAAGTCCGTCTTGTTTTGGATAACGGCAAGATATAGTGTATATGTTGTGACAGCTACCTATTAGTCGAATAAAATCAACTAATAATCTGTATTCTGGGTTTTATATTCTTTATGACCACAATGTCTGTTTCTAGATGTATACGATAAGAAATAGGATTCACCTATTGAATAAATTCCATTCTAAGCTATAATTTGTTATGAAGAGGAAAATGATTATACCTAATAGGGTTCTTAAAATTAGATTTCTATTTAGAAATTTTATATTCCCAATGTACCATATACAAAAGTAATTTTATGAATTTTATTCCCCATCAATGTTGAAACAGTGCAATAGTTAGTCACCAAATAGGAAATAATATTTTACAATTCTACTTTGTATATGTTTATTTTCAAACAAACAAATATATTGGTTTATTTAATGACCTCAAAAGACATCATTAATAACATGCATTTAACGAGAAGTGATTTTTCGGAAAAGATAAAATAACTTTTGTGAAAACTAGTTCATGTAAAATAGCAGTGAAAAACACTTTTGGAGGTTTTGGAGAACAAATTATTTCTCACTTGTTTTGAACGTAACATTCAAATAAGTCTTTGAAATTATATTTAAAATTGTAAAACAGTATGTGTGTTCGTTTCGGGAAATATCACATCATAATATTGGTGCTGTTTTTAGTTGTGTAATAATAGACGATCTGTTTATCTCTTGGTTACAAGTATATTATAACTTATTACTGGTTGCTAGCATATATAATTGTTACCTATGATTTCTATTTTTACCATAATTAGAAGGCATATAGTGTGTGGCAATTTCTAGACTCATACACATAGATGGTTACATGTTCATCATTTAGCTATCATTCTGGTCAATTGTAGAAAGCTGATGTAATTATATCAATCACAACACTTAGTGTTCAAACAGATCCTAAATATTATGCATTTGAATTTATTACCGTTAATGGCTATAAAAACTGACTAGAGAGAGTCGTTTAATGTACACCTAATTTGAAATTATGCGCATACACAAAAGTCAGATCATTTTAGCTAAACAGGTTTAAGCAGACTAATGAATAATTAAGCATATTTTGTTTCAGTCACTTCCTTGTTCACTTAATCGTTATTCATATTGATGCTAAAGTTGATTCACACTGGTTGATAATGATATTTAGTTAAATGATCAATTAGTATGACAGTTGAAGCAATGTTGTATACTAACTAACTAAGGAATGTTGCTCTTTAACCCTTAGGATTGATCAATATCTACTAATTAAGTCGCATTATGACAAATGTGCTAAGTGATGCTAAATGGTTACAGTCGATTGGATGTCATAGCAGTTTCACTAAAACAAATCATTTTCTTCAATAAAACATATACAATTCTTCATCAATGAATTTTTCTGTGTTAACCGAACTGTCAAAAACATTGCAAATTCTGTACAAATATAAATGAACTAATTCTGTCCGTCTTTGCTCAATATAGAAATCATTCTATTTTTAATAGTTAAATCATATTTAACTCATAACCAATATCATTTTACAGATTGTAATTTCTTTCTTAACCAATTAGTTAAGTGCTCTAGCGCGTGACTGGTAGGTCTTGGGTTGGAATCTCGCGAGGTGGGATCGTGGATGAGCACTGCAGAGGAGTCCCACAGTAGGACGAAACGGCCGTCCAGTGCTTCCAGGTTTTCCATGGTAATCTAGCTTAACTTGAATCACGATCTTAACTATATAAAAGTTTTCCACTTTTCCAATTTCGCCCAGCCAAGTAAACTTAATTAGTAAAAAAGAAATACAAGTGAAATGAAATAGTAAAATAAAGCTGAAACATTATTAATTCAACAGTCTATAGGACAGAACACAGGAAAGATGAATTGGAGTATACAAACAGTTACTTTTATTTATTATTATTAAACATTAAACCCCGAAGTAATTTTTTTGTATTTTTTTTACATTTCAGTTCATATTCTGTTAAACAAAATTAAAATAAAATAAATAATCAAGTTTAATTAGAAGATTGTTTGATCAATTTTATGACTCATTGATTTACATCAATGATTGATTTTCGAAATCAAATTAAATTACGGATCAATTTATCATTCTATTGCTTATTTGACAGTTTTTCAATCAGATTTTATTGATTTAAACTGTTAACAAAAATTGAAAATCTAAATTTTGATCTATATAAGTTCAATTTGATTTCCCCCATTTTCAATTTAAGGGAAGTATGTGACTATAAGTACTGCAAGTACCTAATAAATTTTAACTTGATTAGAATAGTTAAAATTATATAACTTTTAAGTAGTTGAAATCATGAGTCATTTGAACGTAGACCAGCATGGAAAACCTGGAAGCACTGGATGGCCGTTTCGTCCTATTATGGTGGTCTAGCTTCAATTTACTAATGGTTTAAACTATAAAATTACTAAAACCTCCAC